CAAAATTGATGTGTTAATTAATTAATTGGAAAAATCACCTTAGGTCTAATTGTGACAGGCTCTGCAGTGTAGTATTTAGCTTTGTAATCACAGACATCCCTAGCCTCTAGTATATTGGTGATTTATAGTGAGTGCATTAATTGGAGTTATTTATAGGGTAATTATCTTTTTAAATCTATGCCTGCATGATCATATACATCTAAAAATTGAGATAATGATATTGAAATTGATATACTGATTCACAGTAAGGTTGAATGGGGCTGGATACATGTACATCTTAAAGCATCTGATATATTAATTGTTTGAAAATCTAAAGTGAAAATTATGTTTTGGACTCTAACTGTAGAAGTAAATGTCAGTTTTTTGACGGCTGACGGTTTGATCTCTCAAGGACCAATGGTATGTTAACCTGGATATGTAGAATGGTTGGAAACAGACACATTGCTTCTAGCTTTTGGTCTGGACTACATGATTTTTTCTTTCTTTAGCTCTTGCTACATGAAATTTTATTGACTATATAGCTTTGACCAGTCATAAGCAAGACTGTAAATTCCTGTGGTGTCTTTAAATGTTTGAAGAGTTTAGGAATTTTAATATTTCCTCCTTAACCCAATTTTAACTTAATTATGTGTACGTAGTCGTAACCCTTGTTAGGAGGTTATGTATTGAATTAATTATGTGTACTTAGTCGTGATAGAACAAAGAACTTAATATCATTTGAGTTTTATGATGGATTGTTGCTGTATTATATAATTATAAAATATTCAGTGTATTCTTATTGAGTTGTGTTTGAGTGTACTTTACTATGTTTAATTGTTGTTATTCGATATTGCATGAATGAATGCCAAATGTAAATTCAAGCAAGCATGACTGTAATTGTTTTAAAGATCAAAGGGACCATTTAAGTCAGATAAAAGCACTTGAGAGACTTTTTTCTAATTAAATTTGGAAGGGCGTACCAGTTAAGGTATTTAAAATACATGTGGATCTGCACTAATCGGAACATTATTTCAATAACTTGGATATTTAACACGGACTAAATTCTATATAGATGTGTATCTCTTTGTCAGACATACCCTGCTCTTGTTGAGAACGCCAAATCTTACCCCAGAGACAAAATAGCTCTGTCTACACCTTCTGTGACAAAAAAACTATCTGTCAAGGTTGCACGTTGGTAGGAAATTAAACATTTTTCCTATTGAGACCTTTAATCGGTGTTGATGTGTTTTGTGTATACAGTCTGACTCTGGACAGTAGATTGGTTAGGAAGAGGATTATCCCATAGACTGTCGAGGATTACTCAATACATTACGACAGAGGCCATGCCCCTTATTGTTCAGGGTGACTCTGGACAATTACTTACTCTTTAAACAGGTGAAAATCCCAGGTGAGGGCTTTAATTACCTGTTGTTACTCAAGGTGTGATTCTAGATTGTGTCGGATGACTCAGATTGTAAAAGGAGATAACTGGCTGCTTTGTTTTGAACATGATTCCAAAGGGAGATAAGAATGGTTATGTGTGGTCTGAAAGTTTTCACTTGTCTGGATATATTTAGAACTCTGGGTACTTAATACACAGATCAGGTAAGACTTACTAGGTTATTAATTAATAGTGGTCTGTGATTAGTAGGGATTAAACTTTGTGTGCTGAGCTCACTATATGGACTGTATGAGCAGTCAGTGACCATACGAATTTTGTCATGTTCAGCAAGGTAACTGTATTTTTAAACCAGGAGTGTTAATTTTCCATATACAGTCTAACCTTGTTATCTCGAACTCAATGGAAGCAGGAAAAATTTTGAGACATCCAAGGAAGATATCCAAGGATTTGAGATATCCAGTGTAAAATACATAACAAATGTACGTGGTTCGGACTTCCAAATCACTTCGACATATCTGATATTCCAGATATTAGTGTTCTAGATATCAAAGGTTAACTGTATATGTTCTATTTTAATGCAAATTTGTAGCTAAATAGGGGAAATAATTGTCTATTATTGATTCTATTTTGAAAAGCAGATCTAAATGTTCAGATGTGCTGTGTACAGTGCATACATCATTTAGCCTGTCCTTTGAGCAGTTAAGGCACATACATTGACTATACAGCATTGAAAATGATGTAAAATCGATATTAGGATTTCAAGCATCTCGATCTGTTTAATACAGGGATTGAATATTGCAATGCAATATTTGTCAGTGATATATTCTCTGTGCAATATATATTAATGGAATAATTATCAATATATTGCACAGATTACACCTGTTTCTGTCTTCATTCAGCATCTGTCTATAATTCTGGTGTGTGAATCCTGCCTGAGAAGATCTAGGAGATTTATATATCTGTCTGTATTAATTGGCCCTCTACATACTTGAGATATCATTGGAATTTTAAGTTTGTTTGGAGAAGGACTTGTTTAGTCAACACTTACGTACAGTCACTATTGTTGTTTTTTTTTTTACCTGAAGATTTAGGGATGCATAGAACTGAGAACAGAATTGAGTCTGTATATACTAGCTATTGCATGATCCGGGTTTGAACAAAAAGTATAACATATACAAAAGGACTGGATACAAGTTCTTTCATTTGACAGTAGATCCTTTCCTTATTATACATACAAAATGAATACAACTGGGAATGATTATCAAACAAATAATCGAAATATTAAATACAATCATGTTGAAAAAAGTTATATGTATTATAACTTTATAAGTTATATGTATTATAACTGTAACATAGTTATGTATATAAGATATATCAAAGACACATACTCTGAGTACAGCGTCTACGAGAGCTCTAATGTTATATAGACAATGATTACAAGGTTTGTGGAAGAGAATTACATGTACATTATGTAATAAGGATTTCAATTTTTTTGCATTCTATATTATACATAAGGGTTGTCCGTAAGGTCCGGGGGCTGGGGAATTTCCCCGCCTATAATGATGTAAACCCCAGGTTATTCTGTTATTCCCCCTCAAAACTATATTAGGGATGGAACCCAAAATCCCCTTCTACTTTTTATGTCTCGCCATGAATATGGCCGGGGCATATAGTGTTTGTCATGTCCGTCTTCCATCCTTCCGTCACACTTTGCGTTTAGCTCTGTTCAAAGCTCAGTTTCAAAGAAACTATCCAAGATATTTTTATCAAACTTCATATGCTGATAGATATTGATGAGAGCTATGCAACTGCATCAACATTTTTTGACATTGACCTTTCTTTTGACCTTGATCTCACTTTTCTTAAATTAGTGTTTAGCTCAGTTTTAATGAAACAATTCAAGATATTTTTACCAAACTTTATATGCTGATACATACTGATGAGAGCTATTCAACTGCATCAATATTTTTTACTTGACCTTTCCTTTGAACTTGACCTCACTTTTCTTAAATAAGTTTTAGCTCAGTTTAAAGATACCATTCAAGATAGTGTTATCAAACTTCATATGCTGATACATACTGACAAGAGCTATTCAACTGCATCAACATTTTTTGACCTTGACCTTTCCTTTGACCCTGACCTCACTTTTCTTAAATTAGTGTTTAGCTCAGTTTTAAAGAAACCATTCATAATATTTTTATCAAACTTCATTTGCTAATACATACTGATTTAACCTTTTCAACTGCATCAACAATTTTTGAACTTGACGTTTCCTTTGACCTTGACCTCACTTTTCTTAAATTAGTGTCAAACTTCATATGCTGATACATACTGATGTAAGCTATTCAACTGCATCAATATTTTTTCACCTTGACCTTTCCTTTGACCTTGACCTCACTTTTCTCAATTTGTGTTAAAATGTTGCATCACTAATATACCTTCGGCGGGGCATTCATGTCCTATGGACATATTTCTAGTTAAATATTCCCTGCTTTTTCAATACTTAGGGACAACTCTGATACATGATGAATTCAAAGATACATGTTCTGAATTAGATTGAGAGAATCAAGTTCTTCATATTACCAACAATTACTGTGGAAATCAACAGGTGTAAATATTAATTCATGAACCAAGAGATAAAGTAATATTAAGTTTTTTTTCCCCCTATGCATATTTTGTTAGAAAATGAAAGGAGAAGGGACTACTATAATATCCTTATTAATTTTTGGCTATTCATGCTTTATGTAATGTAATCCAAGTTATTTTTCATATGCCCTTTTTTGCTGGATTTACACACTTAAACATGATAGTGTGATTCATTGGTTAGATTTAATAGAAGATAGACTTCTTTTTCTAAGCCCCCCCCCCCCAAAAAAAAAAATCTGGGAAGAAAGAGGTCATTTAGGTGAATTCATAATTGATCTTATTTCATGCAGATGAAAAGTATGACAATATCACAAATCAGTATTTAGCCGGGCTCATCGTTCATAGAGCAATAGCCGGCTTTTGTTATGCGGTGTTCAACCGGAAATGCTGCTTCCTCACCGCCAAATCTAATTAACGAGTAAGAATATGGTACGTAAGCTCAACCACCTTTGAGGCAATACAAACACTAAACTAAACAAATTTAACTTAACTAAGAATTTCTCTAAATAAAAGAAAACAAAACATTAATGGTAATATACTTTCTACATTCTTCTTCGATTAATTATTTGTTAGAAATATGCGGAAGGTTTTCATCAGGTCTCCCTGTCTGCGTCACATTCTATAAATAAAGGTTGTGTTACCAGGCTAACACTAATGTGGGGAGCACGTGACCCGTTGCACACCTTGATGCAAAACTCCCCGCTGAGGACTCATCTGTACATAAACGTTTGACCTTCGATCTGTATCAATGTTCATTTACTTATGTATTAAACAGTGGTATAAGACCCAAAACAATAAAAAAAAAAATGTTAAATTCAAACTACGTTTTATTTTTTTTTTTTCAAACATTTTTAATTTATACTATATGCAATGTATTTTTGTGTTACATATTCTTCCAGTGTCTGAATTGTTGTTTATCTGTTATCACAATGTGCATGTATGTTTCATGTAAAACGGTCTTTGGTCACTACTCTGTAAATGAGCCCGGCTCTCTGTACTTCTGAGTACTTTGATTATTTGATATTAAGGAATCTTACAGTTATAAGAGTATTATATAGAAGTTTCAGGGTTATGAGAGAAAGGGTCTCCAGGGAGAGGGGGAAAGAAGAGGGACAAGAAAGAAGAGGGACAAGGGGGAGAGGGGGAAAGAAGAGGGACAAGAAAGAAAAAGGGAGGGTGATGGAAAAAGAATGGGAGTGAGAGAGAGAGATAAGGGAGAGAGAAATAACAAAAGAGGGAGAGGGTGATAGACTGAGAGAATTAATGAAAGGGTGAGAGAATAAAGGAAAGAGAGATAGAGAGAAAGCAGATGTGTAGGGGAGAAAGCAAGGGTGAAGTATGAGTCAGATACATCTGTTTGTGGAAGGATTAGTAGAGTTTATGATAATCTCAGTGATGTGTAGATTCCAATCTCCTGGATAACAGCTCCAGCAGGTGTGTTTTATGGAGGAAGGGTTGAGTTCTGAATATCACTGATGGAGAGTTTATACAACAGAGACTGTATGATGTCTGACGGAACCCATCTGAGAATCCAGACTGTTTGTTGCATGTTTTTAATCCAGATAAACCTCACCCTCTGCAAATGAAGCCAAGACAATATTATGTATAGCTTTTATTCAGAATTTTATTTCTTAAGTAGAGTCAAACCTGGTTATCTCAAACTCAATGGGACTGAGAAAAAACTTTGAGATATTCAAGGATTTGAGATATTGAGGGTAAAATACTTAAAGAATATGTGATTAGGACTTCCAAAATCCCTTGGACATATCCATAGTATTCAAGATATTGGTGTTCGAGATACCGAAGTTCAATTGTAGTTCTCATTGTAAAAAAAGAATTAATGAAAAGATATGTCATTAATTATAATGTGAGGATGTAAATTTTAAAATCATTGAAAGATATCTTCCTCCCTCCTTGATTTAAAAAAAAAAAATGGAACAGCAATTAACAGAATGTATGATGTTCATTTATAGAAGGAAAAAAAGTAACAATGATTTTAATTAATATATATTATAATTATATTGAATTCATTTGAAGCAATTAATAGCTTTTTGAACAATATTGTAAATTAAACCTAACCTACCTAGAGCATATATGCATTAAAAAGCATTAGACATTATTGCCACACAGTATATTCTAGTCAATAAATACTTGTATAGATATATGTATGTAATATTTTTAACATTATGCAATCAGTAACAATTTAACTTGAAGTTAACTCTTAATCCCAGTGAGGAATTTCAACACAGGAAGTTCTTATTTTACAAGATGACCCCATTATTTTACCCTTTAAAAATATTGTGGGAAAACCTTTTGGAGTTCTCTCCTATTTTAAAGTGGATTCACCTGTAGGAAAAATACCTGAGAAAATTGTTTGGGGTCTGGTCTTCTGTTAAAGCCCACACTCTCTTTATACATATAAGGCCTGAGGAATGTATGCATATAACACTGTGGTTTATGAATGAGTCGCCGAGGTCAATTTTATTACTTAGAAGATCGTGAGGTTTTTCGTTTATGCCTAGATGAGGGAGATAAAAAGATCAGGAATATATCATTAGAGTTTTAATTAGACAAGGACAGTTGTGTGTTTATGTCAGCTGTTGTGTGCATATCCAGTGATGTTTTCACTTAACAAAATGAAGAAGTCAGTCATGAGTCCCTGGCTGTTTGTGAAAGCTTAATTGGCATGTCTGCCATGTTTATGTGGAATAAAAAAGTGGGGGAGAAATTCATGATTTTGTGAAACAACATTTTCATTTTCATTGGAATGGAGAGCATCTAATTTGTGTGGCCATTATTTTTTTTTATTTAATTTTCTATGGTGCTGAATTTTTTCCATCAAAGATAGATACACAGGTTTTCAATGGTATAAATCTGATAAACTGAAACTGAAATCAAAGCAAGTCATTTCCTTGTGGATGTTAATTTGATTTACCTGGACAAGGTGAGTCAGATGACTTCAGTGAATTAGAGGCTTATATCATTTAATTATGACAGGTACATATTTATTTATAGAAACCTTATCCATCAAAATACTTATACATTCAGGGTTGGAGACTAAATACAGAGTTAAAAAATGTATTCTAGCTGACTTCATTCTAAATGAGTAACTTTCTTTTTATATGTCTTTCTCCACTGATGACGTATGTCAGTGAGCCTTTATAATAAATACAATTGATATTGGTATGCTAATTAAAGGATGGATTTATTGCATGAGAACTTACATGTAGCTGATCATTGTTGTCCAAAGAGGGAAATTTTAAATCAAGGTATGAAGTCGAAGTTGGAAAAAGGTTACGTGGACCGATTAACGTATGAAATATTGTACCCGAGTTTGCTCACTCTCCATCAGATCGATGTTTAATGTACATGACACAATAGTTACAACATTTCATACATCATGTGGATACAGTTGTCATCTTATGTCCACACTGTGGTTGACTTTTGTCTTGCACAGAATGAAGTACATAGTGTAATTGTGCACCTCTTATTTCAAAATTTGATTGGACAGATATGTAAGGTTTCCTATAGCAAAACATGGACACAGCCATTCTTTCTATAATATTGGAGATACCCATCTGTTCTCTACAAGTTTTCTTATAACACTGAATGAAATTTAATGAGACTTTATCAGAATCTTTATTACATAGTGCCATATTGTGCAGCTCCTATTTTACATTTCAATTAACCAGATATTTGGGGTTTCCCATAGCAAAAAATGAGCTGTGCCAATATAACAAATATGGGAGGGGGGTATCATTTGAGCTCAGTGCTCACAGAACCTCCATTTTTTTTATATCATCAGACTCAAATTTGTTTTTCAATTTTAATTGATTGGTTTAAAACTTTCTACTCTGTTTACCATTCATCTGAATATTGAGGCAATATGTGGTACATATGTATCTACTATTAACAATGCTATAACTATTACTTGTACAGGTGTTTTATTAGAGCCCAATATCAAAAGTTGACTGCATGTATTGTATTTTTATTATACATGTATTTTAGGATTGATTTTAATATGTATAATGAATTTTTATGTCATAAGTTTTTAACTAATTTTATCGAAGTGGCAAAAATCCATGTTTTCTTAATTAGTCCAGATAGGATAAACTATTGCACAAATCATAATGAGAAATGTTGATTTACTATGTACACTCCATATCAGTTGCTACATGTATAAAATTGCTTGGTCTTTAATAACTAGTGCAAAATCCTCAAGGGATGAAAATGAACATTGGCCTTTCTGAATTGAAAAACTTGGCAGAGTCATAAAGATACTCAAAAGATTAAGTCTTGAAATTGCTGTAATGTTATGCTTTGAGTTAAACATCCATACACAGATACAGAAGTTTATATTAACTGTAACACCTATAAGATTATGATATCTTGGATTGACCCCTGTAGCAAAAATTCAGACTTGTTGAAATCCGTCGGTCCTGTCGGCAAGGCCGGTAAAAATTTGTCTGGACCGACAACTTTTAAGAAAACGTCAGTCCAGATGACCGTTTGAAAAAATGCAAATTTAATAAAGGTCGGGGTCGGGATGCGCAGCTGAAGGTCACAAACACAGGAAAAATGGCCGCGTACGCGGCGTGTTGACGATAGCCAATTAAATTTGTTATAGCAAAGTCATAAAACGTGTCATTTATGTCTTTTATTAAAGACTTTCTATCCCAAGGAAGGAAACTTGTAAGATTGAAAGCTGTTGAAAATAATCCAGGGCATTTTGGTGCTGTTATTCATATGACTTTCACAGCGTCAAAATAAGGTACATGTATCTGGTCTGACAAAACTTTGACTGGTCCGACAGAACATTTGACTTTGTCAGACCAAATGTCTGACAATGATTTAAAAATTTTGACAAGTCTGAAAATTTTGACTGAAATTTCCCAATGCTGCCGGTCACAGCAGCCTAGTGGTAGGGCGCTCACTTGGTGATCAGGAGGTCCGGGTTCGATTCTTGTTCGTCAAACCTAAGACGTAAACATAGGTAGTGACTGTTCCTTCCCAAAGCGCCCGGCACTAAAAGTGAAAGTAACTGGTCTTTCGGATGGGACCTTAAAAACCGAGGTCCCGTGTCACGGTAGGCGTTGGCACAATAAAGAACCTTCACTGCATGCTCAATGACCCTGAGTGCCGAGTATAGGTCTAAATTTGAAGCTTTTCACCAGCATACGGTGACGTCTTTATATGAGTGAAAAATTCTTGAATGGGACATTAAACAGCATACAATCAATAAATCCCAATGCTGCCTCATGTACTGGACTGGCCCTTCCCTGAAGTATGCACTTATGTTGCTATAAGACAAATAGAATGTTTCTTTTTTTTTAATCTAATTTTTATTAAGACATGCCCATTTCTTTGACATTATGAATTGTTAATCAGCACATAAAAAACTTCTCTGAATAAGCTTGCACCAATCTTAAAAATATTACAAATGAATGCACTTTTTTTTTTACACATTATTTTAATTCCAAAAATTTAATGTAAAACACCCCATTTTCAGTATTTTATTTATATTCAAATACCAATTCATTATTTGGTGTTTTTTGTGTATTTTTTTAATGATTAAAAAAAAATTAACTGTGAGGATCGAGAATTTGCTGATATTAATGGGCAATGAAATGCATGATTTAATAGTAAGATTTTTAACATAAATTCAAATATTTCATCTGCAATTAAAGTGCCTCAGATGTGACTTAAGTTAGATAAGATTCTCATAGAATGAAGGAAAAAAGATTTTAAACTAATGCAATATATATATAGCACATTAAGATACAGAAACAAAGAAAAAGTAATGGTGCCTAGCCTAGGATCATTTGTCTTGATCGATACAAGTAACATTTTTTTCAAATTGTTATTTATTCTTGAATTGTTTAGAAAAGTAAAGTGGTTTTTAAAATTGCTTTCAGATACCTTATTTGTAGATATTTCTTATAGCAATAAAAACAAAGTGAATGTTTGTTTGGATGGTTGAATTTTTTGGAAGGAGTTACTTAAACAAATGAATCTGCCACCTTTTTTATAAGGCTGTTGAGTACAGTGTAGAATATTTCCTACGTTACTAATGAAGTGTGGCTCTTGTAAACATTTGTTTTTACTAAGTACTTCAGATAATTGAAGCTGAGAGGGGATTGTGGGGTAAACATTAGGAACAACACAATGTTATCTGGTAAACTATGTACAGTCAAACATTGTTAATCTGGACGCATGTGTCCCCGAGCAAATTGTCTGGATTAATAAAGTGTCTGGATTAATGAAACATGCCTTTTTGTATTTTGTCATTCAATGTTAATTATATTCCCCACATTAATTTTGTCTGGTAGTGAAGTATCTGAACTATTGGCGATACAGACGATTGAATGTATTTGGGTGCATAGAATTATGAGAGATGTTTAGAATTAAGGTTTCTGCACTCCTTGGACATTCTTTGAGAAACTGTTTACTGTAAATCTGCTCCTGAAAATTTCATATTTTTATTAGTGAAGATTATATACAACAGTAACCAGATTTCATGAAAAAAAATTTTCTCTCTTATAAATACCATACACCTGTCTCGCGAAAATAAGGTTTTTAAAAAATTTAGTAGTGATCTACAGTACATTTGCGATTGTTGAGAGATTGTTTTGAGTAGATTTGTTTTGAGAAGACTGATGGAGTCTGATGAGATCACTGGGAGATCACTAAGAGATCGTAGCAAATGCTGAGTGACCATTGAAAGGTGGATGAGAGATCATGTCAGTGCTCAGTAATCTCTCTCTTTGTAAAAAGGGTTTAAGGCAGATTTGAGTGTACTTTATAGTTATGCCTTCGAATTTGTTAGTGATTTTATGTTTTACACACACACACTCTCACTCAAGCACACAACACACTCATATACAATGTAAATATTAGCAAAATATTTGGATTTGAATAAGGTTTTTGAAATGTTCAAAGTTTTATTAAGGTAGAAATTACCACTTCTTTGTTAAAATTCGTTTATTAAGGAAGATTTGACTGTACTTTATAGTTACACCTGTAAATTTTGTAGTGATTTTATGTTTTACACACACAATCACACACACAAGCATACAACACATACATCCTAAAATTTCAGCTAAATATTTAGTTTTAAATAAGACTAAGTTGTATTAAGGTAGAAATCACTTCCATAATTGTTCAGAGAAAAAATGGAGTAAGGAACCTGCTAAATTTTAATCAGAAAAGGTGAGAACAGAGTTCTTGTAAAGAGATAAATTTGCTGTTTTCCCAGGATGATTCATAATGGTGCTAAGAAGGTTTTCTCTTTCATCTTAAATAATATCTTTGTTTTCACAGCCAGGGGGCTCTTTTTTATGCATCCTTGCAATAACAGAAAAGATTTACAGTGATACTTTAGTTTGTAAGCAGTAATTGTTGGTCTTAATGCTCAGAATTTGATGTTTGAATCATAAACATTACTCATTGATGAAGGCTTAATAAGTTGGTTAAATTACTCCTTTTTTTTTTAATGTATACATTTTTTTAAATGTAGTGATCCTTCATATTAAGTAAATGATATATATTTTGCATTGAAAATCTTGAAATTTTTTCAAACTCCATAATAGGTGCTTAATAATAACTCCATAATAGGAATTAGTGTCAGTCATAACTTGCTGATTATGCACAATTCAATCTTGATTTCAATATCTGCAGATACAGAAACTTGACGTGGGTGAGCATTGTGGACTATGGGCCTGTATAACGTAGGGATTTTTATTTTCAGACAAAGCTGTCTCTGTAATCTAGTGAAGGAATTTAAACATAGTGTTAACCTAGTCTTTCACATTTAAAAAGACTGAAATCTTCAGTTTCTAAATAACACAAACACACACAACAAAACTACACCCTCCCCCCCCCCCCCCCCAAAAAAAAGTTTAAAATTCTATTTGATCAGAGTAGCAGAGAATGAGGCTGACAGACATGTGAAGTGGGGTATTCCTTTTGTTATCAACATAAATCAAATCCACTGCTGCTGTGCCATGGATCTGAGAACATGGAAGAATGCCTAAACATCTGCTGTTGTCACGTCATCATTCCATTTTTATCTACACGCTGCACCAAACATGCAATCAGATTATTTCTCCTGTAATTAATAAGAAAAATATTGAGTCTTAGGGGATGACGAGACTCATTCTCCCCTATTAAAAATAAGTAACATATATTACCGTAACTGCACCCGCTGGTTCCAGTCTTGTCCTTCACAGCAAGTGAGCATCCTCCTCTCGTGGATGTAAATATGGTGAGAAAATACAATCGCTACGATTGCAGGCTTATATATTTTTTTTTTACCCCCACATTGAGAGACATTCATCGCATAACATTGGCTAAGATCAGAGAAAGATGAGTGTCTTCACACGTAATAGTTTGACAAACACCGAGTCTACGAGCTTTTCACTTGGCATTCTCTTCTCTCTTTCCCTCCTCCACAACAGAGATGTGACGGTTTGGGATATCTTGTCCGTGAGTCACACCCCCCTTTTATCCACACTGACGTTACGTGGGAGGATATTTCTACCCATTCTTTTCCTGCTGACAGGGATTTCTGACAAAGTCTTTCTCTTTTTTCGTGATTTTTGAGGGTGATAAGACGTGATCAATTCTAAAACGAATCTCACTTTTTTTAATTGAAAATGAGTTACCATGAATGGGTAAGTTGATGCGTCTCCATTGTGAAATTTTATAATTTTGTTTTGTTTTTTGATGATGGGAGTCTTGTTTACATGGAAGTATCCATTGTCTCTTACAATTAGCCAACAGTAGTTCATTGCAGATTTAGTGCCAGAATCTCAGTACTTTTCCTGTAAATTTGGTTTCACTTTCAAAATTTTTGACTGAATTGCAGTTTGGATTTGTCTGTGAATATAACATTCAAATGGCAGTAAATCAACTTTACAAGTTATTTATTGATTGACCTTCTTGTTCTTAGCTAATATGTGGGAAGAGATTTTTTTATTCTAATATGTGGGAAGAGATTTTTTTATTCTAATATGTGGGAAGAGATTTTTTTATTCTAATATGTGGGAAGAGATTTTTTTATTCTCGTGGAGTGCTTTTGTCTCAAGTTCATCATTTGGTTCTATATAATTATCAGTTAACTTATTAATTTGGTTACAGCTTTTGATTTAGGTCATATTTGAAAGATCATGGTTCAAAATTGAAAACTGTTTCCAAGGTTACAGTTATGTCAAGGTCAGAGAACATGAAGAACTGATGCACATATTGTCATGGACAATTTCTGGGTCATCAGTTTATCAGATTTTGACTTTATATGGTATACATGACTAAGTCAGGTTCAGTTCTGTTCGTGTCTTTATTTTATACATATTGTGTTTAATAGAATGTCTCTAATAAGTCAATCACAAATATTATGAGTTATCTCTTAAATTGCTAAAATTAATTACTCTTATGATAAATGCACACTTATGAATAAAATATAGTTAAAATTGCTAAAATAACCCATTACATGGTATAATAATTATTATTTCATTGTTATAACAGAACTAATTTTTATTCATTACAGAGTGATGGTGATCCTGGTATAGTGGTGTCCACATTATACAGTATAATAATTATTATTTCATTGTTATAAAAGAGCTTTAATTTATTTATTACAGAGCGATGGTGATCCTGGTATAGTGGTGTCCAGATGGCCTGCTCATAAGACAATCCTGATTCCTAAAACTGAGCAGGGATACGGCTTCACCCTCAGACATTTTATCTTCTATCCCTCCAGCACTGCCACACAGGATCAGGTGGGTTATCAAAAGCCCCAGCCCCCCCCCCCCCCCCCCAATCACTGTATTAGCCCACCCCATGTTATGGCAGGTCAGTTATTGTGTAATCACTAATTTTCATGGGGATTTAATTTTCGTTGTTTTCGAGGTATAAAAAGACCCACACACTCCTGTCCACCACGAAATGTAAAATGTCATGTGCATAACTGCTCAACAATTCTTCATCCACTAAATCAAATTCCCATGAACCCACATTTTTTTCTAAAACCACGAAAATTTGACTCCACAAATATATGTAATTATAGTATAACAAATTGTCTTTAACAAGGCTAGTAATTTGTGATGGTTGACTATACTAGCTGCTTTAAATTTTAAGCATCATTACTGATGCAAAATCCAGCTGTCATATAATGCCAAGGTGTTTGCACTTCAAGAACAATGTTAAAATTGCAAAGAATGGAGATCGGACTACTAAGTGTTTTGAAGTTTGGCATAATTTGTTCTGTGCTGTACGCATTAAGTGAATAAGCTGAAAGCATGTGTTAAGTTGTTTTACAAAAAAAAATCTTCATCAGATTTGAACGCTTTTTCTGGTTCATGGTCTTCTTACATCATTCCTCAAAAGATAAAACTTCAATGTTTGATCAGTCATGCCTATTTAGTTTTAATTGTTTTAAGATGCAGATTTTTAAGATCTTATTGGGTTGAATCATAAAACATTTTCGTTCAAATCTCTTATAAAAATAAGATGATACTTTCACCTCGTCTTATCAAAGATTTCAGAATCATCAGCGAGTCTTTTATATTTTTGGCAGAGTTTGACATTTAATGGTGGGGGGAAAAATCAAGATTTTAATCTTTGAAATGCTACAAGTTCTTGAGGATATTTCAGACATGGTAAACCCATAATAATATGTAGATCTGTGAGTCAAAACAAAAGTATTCATGATATACAGATAGAAGCAGACATTGAAGAGTTTGAAATTCTTGAATTTTATTGGGGGTGCTTCTAAGGATTTAGAAAAAACAAACCGGTGCCAATAAGACAGAAAAGTTCTTTCTGTATTCATTTGGCATTTTTGTTGTCAGCATTTTCAGGTGTGAATTCAGGTGGGGGCACTCCCACTGTGCGGCCCCTATAAAAGCAAAAGCAAAAAAAAAAAAAAAAAAAAAAAAAAAAATCAGATATTGTTTAATCTATTAAAGATAAAATTTCAGTCATTTTTTTGTCAAAATAAGGTTCTTATTGCTAATTCTCATGAACTTACAGTGGCTTTGCCCCCGAGGTCCCTCATCAGACACTGTCCTTTACCCCTTTACCCTATCTAATAATGCCCCTCTAACTCAAAAACCCTGGATCCACACCAGATCTTATAAAAGTGATACACAATTAAATTTAGTCCTGAGCTTGTGTTGGTTGGGATTGAAGTTAAAAATTTTAAGGCGGCTTATCATACAGAGATAACCAAGGTTAAGGGAGATGAACAAAGTTTTAAGATGAAGATGAAAGATCAGGGTGATCAGAGAGTTTGTCATGATTTAAAGTCAAACCTTGCCTCCTTTATATCTTCAAACAAATTTCACAAAGTTAAAAAAAAAAAGATGAAAGATTATCAGTGGTAGATAAATGTAGAGATACAAGTCTATTTATCATTCCAGAGGGATATTTTGTCTATGATATGCCAAAACATTAAACTGTTCAAACGTAGTCTGACTTGGTTCAGGCATTCCATGGCTAAACCAGGAACATCAGTCTGTAAAAATTGGGCTCAAGGAAGATCACGGAGCAGACATTTATACGTTCCTGGCTTGTAAATCACTTATAAAATTATTTATATTTTCACCTACTTTTAACTAAAAGAAAAATATCTGGATAAATGCCACAGGGCCTGGGTAGAGGCTTTTCTTTTCCCCAGGATCTGGGCAGGAGTGAGGCTTTTACTCACCCCAGGGTCTAGGTAGAAGTGAGACTTTCCCTCACCCCAGGGTCTGGGCAGGAGTGAGGCTTTTCCTACCCCAGGGTCTTTGCAGGAGTGAGGCTTTTCTTTACCTCAAGACCTGAGAAATATATGGTTGATAACCCAAGAGCCTAGGCAGAAGTCAGGCTATTCCAAACTATAAAGACATAACCTTCCCATGTTGATTGTCCCAGACCATTGGGAATGTGATATATGTTGGATTTTCAGGTCATTTTAGTTCACTGCCTGACAAGGTGACCTTCACAAACATTAGTGTGTTACACTAGAATTAATCCATTAGGTGTTGGCATCAGACCATACTGTACAGCTGGAAACAACCGGAGAAAGAAACAGAAGGTGTACGAGTTCAAGAAAACACTGTCAGATTATAGTTAGATTATACAACGTGCATTTCAACAGTCACTGTCCTATAGCTAGCAGTATATACTGCTGTGTGTGATGAAAGAGTTTTTGAATATGATCCAATAAACATGGTGGTACAAAAAAATACTTCTAGCATTATTTTTAGTTTACCATCTTCATTAATAGAGGAAGTATAGCATCGGACTTATTAGCCCCCCCCCCTTTCTCAAACACACACTGCACTCACTCCACAATGAAATAAACTTGGATGTATGTAGGGGTAATTATTTCACTAGTAAGGCTTCTCATAAATTTATCTGATTTTAATTAGACCTACAGATAATTAAAATATTAAGATGCTAAACATTTTGTGAATGTGATTATACTAAAAATTATATATAAACTTTATCACTGTTCACAGGTAAAAGTTGATGGACTGCATGTATTTAGTTTTTCAAAGTTTTACTGAATGAAGGAGACAAATGCTCAATAATTCAGTTTCAGGATTACAGTTGTAACTTATTGTTCTAACGTTGTTTTTCTTTTTGGTGTTGTAGAATACAGAAAGAGAAAAAAATGAAGGTATGTGCTTTAATTCATACAATTCTGAGTTTTATCTTCCCACTTTGATTATACTTAGAATTATTTGCTGGAGCTTTATTGTCATTTTTAAGGCAATATTTGCATTTTCAGTGCCCTGAGCTTCATAAATTCAATTTAGACCTAAAATGTCATTAAAAAAATTGCTGGCTTGATTATTTAATTTCTTGCTGAAAAGTTGTAATTACATATTGACATGATCAAGGAGGTCAAGAAAAGACAATAAGAACAAGGTAGAAATAGTTTGTCTTGGCAGAGTTACCCCCCTTTAAACACATAATAATTCACTGACCTCTGTAACAGATTTAATGCCATAGTTGACATTTTTGTGGCTCTGTTTAGGGTATAATCTGATTATCTATAGATAATCTGTGACACCTTGTCAGGTAGTTTTCTGTAAGAAATATTTTGTACTTTGTAAATTGGAGGAATTCTTGACTGACTAGTAGATAGAGAGATAATACACTTATGTCTGTGATGTTACAACTTTATTTTGATCTATTTCTGATGTCACCTACTTTATTCATGCAATTTACTTAAGAAAATGTAGTTGAATGTATCGATTAGTATGTAGATGAATGACATTGTGTAGATGAATGTTTAATTGAATCTATGGATGAATGGAATTTTAGGATGTAGACAAATGCTGGCACTTTGAATGTTAGATCTTCAAAGTTTCAGATATAAGTATGATATAATCTTCAGATATTTCGATCGATTGATAGAGAGAGAGAGAGAAAGAGAGAGAGAGAGAGAGAGGTTTTAATGGCAGAGCTAGTTCTCCAAACTGACCTGTGGACTCTGATACTTTTTCAAACCAGAATCTATTTAAACTTTCAAGATTTCTGTTTTAACAATATTTTTCTCTTCAATAAACAACATCATTTGCCCATTTGTTTGCAATAATAGATTTAGCATCTTGCAAGCACATTTTTCATCATATCCATGGGCAGTCGCCTGTTTTAATCTGGTACAGCTGTGCATAAGTTTTTTTTTTAATGTAAAATGAAGAATTATATTTATTATTCTGTGCTTTTATTTTTAGATTTTAAAGAGACATATTCTGTGTGAAACATACTTAAGTTCTGGACTGGAAGTTTTTGTTTCAATTGATGTAAACACATTTAAGACCATTTTAACTAATAGCCACCACTTTGAAACATCTCTGCATGAAAGGAGTCACCAAAGTGTTTATTCACAATTACAAACTCTATAGTAAATCCATCCCTGATTGATAGATTTGATTATAGACTAGTCATTCCATCCATCTACATTATAATTAGCCTCACTCCGGGTCCCTTTGATGTTTGAGTATTGCTTATTGCAGGTACCTCTTACAAACGTCTTAGTTTCGTGGATCCTATGGACACAATCTTCGTTAAAAATGTCCGAACCTACAGCCCAGCTTACAACGCAGGTTTAATGACTGGAGATCGGGTGATAACCGTGAATGATCAGCCCGTATCCCAGAAGTCTTATGCTCAAGTGATCGGACTGATACAGCAAAGCGAGGGCATTCTTAAGCTAGAGGTGCTGCCAAAAGACGAAGACAGAGAGGACACGGATCTTCTGGTGAGTCTACAGGGTAGCTCAAAATTAGAGATATTAAGAGTGATAAACATGCTCAACAAAATAAATATTCTTGTTATAAATACCTGTTAAGAAATAATTTGCTCCTTGATTGCCATTTTGTGGAGAGGAGGTGATTTTTTTCCCTTTCTGCCATATGCAGATTTTCAATCTCCATCTTTGACAATTCTCTGTCCTAAATGAGACTTTTGTCTGACTTTTTCTTGAGGTTATGCTGCAAATGCAACTCGCACATTTATATGAAAATGTTAAATTTACCTGTTGGTATTAAAACCGTGGTGGTATAGGATCAGGTAACGTTGAGATTCAAACACAGGATTTTTCTTTAAAAGGGAAGTAACTCTTATAATTCTGTGAATTCCTGCCTAGTGCCTGGTCACTCAGTAAACGTATCTATTTATATTTACCAACTGCTTGTATTATCTACATAACATCACTGGAAAATTACATATATACAATTATGAAGATAATTTGTCATATAGATCTATCATAATAAAAAAAATAAAAACAGCATCCAAATAAGGTACAATGATATATTATCTTAATAAGAAAACCTATTTCAAGACTGTGTGTGATATGTCTACACTATATATAGAGTGACAATGTGAATCATACAGCAAGAGCAGTTACCTTTCAGGTGTGTGTAACTTATCTTGTAGCATTTATCTAATTTACACAACAAATCATAGATTTCTTTGTATCTAGATAGGAAAAGTTTATCAGATGTAACATTTCAAGTCTAGAGCATCACATTTCTATTTTCAGACTTGTAAAAGTCCAGAACAAGCCCAGCAGGCAGAACTGTGTCAAAATCAAACGGATCATTTTACCGAGTCCAGAACAACACCATTCAGGAAATTTATTTCAAGTGATGATTTGCGTGAAAGACCAAGGTCTCTTCTAGCCCGAGAGGAAATCGCTCCAAAATCGGAGGATAGGATTCTTGTTAAAAGCATGGATCCCCCAAGTAAACTAAAGACCTCGACTTCTTACACTTCAGGACTCAGTGTTTTTCGTGAGCCTTGGAATTCCTCGGGGGGTGGTATAAGGGAATCCCCCTCCCGTGAGTTTTCAGAGAGGAGGATGGATTTCGAGACAAGAGCGAAGGAGAATCAGGAGATTCCCCCGAATAAAGCGTATTCTTTTGGATTATTTTACAACGATAAAACCCGATCAGCAAGTGATTTGACAACGGCTGTGCCGCGTCGTCAAGAACATGTGCTTCATCCCACGGATTCTCAGGAGAATATTTCCAAATCGAATGTTAGTCAGAGTAGAGTGATTCCCCTTGAGAATAGACATACAAGGGAGATTACTCAGGACAAAACAGGGTATACCTCTTCACGTCATAGTTTTCCAGACTCTAATTTGAGTCGAACATCTTCATCTATGTCATCAGGAATACAAAACACATCGAATACTAAGTCTGAATACCACACAACAACAAGGCAGTATATCCCAGTGGTTTCAGCTCAACCCTCTGTGTTGCCACACAAAATGTCGGCAAGTGTCGACAGTTTAGACTCAAGTTCTAGTTATCACACTCCAGAGAGAAAAGTCCGAACACGGATATATGAGCAACCACAGCAAGGGGGAGGAAGGACATTTATTGTGAAAATCGGAGACAGACATTATGAAGGGGGAGTCAGTCAGGGGAATGCACAAAGTGACCTGACGGGAAATGCTGCCAAACAGGTTCCTCGGTATGGCACAGCCTTTGCATTGACCAGATCCCCAATGTCTGGCGGTGTCGAACAAGGAAGAGTAGTATCCCAGAAGAAATTCATGTTCGAAAATGGCAAAAGTGATCAGATTCCGGCAAAACCAGCCGTGGATCGTTACAAAACGGAAATTGATAAGATTACATCTCACGGAAAATTCAGCAGCGTTGCCACCAGGGTACAGAGTTTTGAAAAGGATGATACACCACCGAGTTCAAATATTCGAATCCGTAGGCGCTCATCACAAGAACGGTGTGTTTCCATGCCACCTGAATCTTCAGTCCAATCAAATCATCCCTCTCAACAGCCATATCAAGAATCTGCACCAATCAGAATTTATGTCTCACAAGGGTCAGGGAATGCTTCGGGCTCACCTATAGTTGAAATAGTTCCTATGTACCCAAACAGTGGCAAGAAAACGGTGACCTCCCCAAAGGAAGTGACATCACAGCCCGTCATTCATATCAAGCAATCGGATGACGTTGACGGCGCAGCACTGAGTCGACATAAGGAAGAAGAAGACGTCAGCCATTCTTCTAAACCTGTCCGAAAACCCTCCTTTTTAGCTGCTATCAATGGATCTCAACAGAGGTGTAAGTATTTAGAATGCCTTTTAATGTTATCAATAAGTAGTTAGAGTTATTGCCCTTTGATTGTGCTATGATAAAAATAGTTCACTGTGGTGATGGGATGGGGAGAGAGAGAGAGAGAGAGAGGGAGAGAGAGAGGAGGGGAGATGGGAAGAGAAATGGACAGTAAATTCTGGCAGAAATAATTGCTGTAATGTAATATGCAATCTCTTAGGATCTCTCTCATCCCCTGCCTCCTCTTTCTTCCCCTGACTTTTCTCTCTCTCTCCCTGCCCCTTCTCTCCCTCTCTCCCCCTGACTCTTCCCTCCCCCAGCCTCTTCTCTCTCTCCCTGACCTCTCCCCTGCCTGTCTCTCTCTCCCTGCCTCTTCTCTCTCTCCCCTGCCTCTCTTTCACTCTCTCTCTCTGCTCTTTTTCTCTCTGACAATTTTCATGATGATGCATGAAAAAGAAGATTCATCTAATTTGAAAGATTGGGTTGTCATCTTAAAGATTTAAAACCACATGACCTGTTACTGTGATAAGTGAAGGCAATGTGACAAATAAAATTGAATACGTGATACAATAAACCATGAATTCGGCTCCAGAAATATAATATAAAATGTATGTATCTTCTAAGGGGCTTGTGTCCGAACAAGTCATGATGTAGGAAGAAAACAAGGTGCTTTGTATTATGACCCCAACAGCAAAATCTAGGTTTGTTTACATGTGATAGAGACTTCAGATTTGTGAATGTTTGATTGTAACAAAACATGGTACATGGATGTATTAATGATTTGTTAGTAATTAAGCTTGGGAGGGACCCACGTGAAGCTCAATTGTACCTATATAATGTTTATTAAATAAAACAGTAGATATAAACTAAAAGAAAGGAATAGTAATTTTCATATAATACTTGTAATGAAAAAAAAAATATTCAGTAATTTTTTAACTATTATATTTTCATTAATGCAAAATTATTTGTCAGTTCATGTCAGTATATATAATTATATTTCATCAACTCTTTTGATAATAATTTGTTAATTGACCACCCTATACTGTGTATAAATTTACTTTCATTTTGAAAGTGTATCTACATCCATCTGGTGGTACTTGAATGACTTTAAATATATTTTAAAAAAAATTTCCTGTATGATATGTAATACCTTATGCTATATGTGTGTGATGGCTCTCTCAGGCTAGAGGGGGAAAAATATGTTATTTTAAACATAGGGTGAATCATATTGCTATTTTACATTCAGACAAACTCCATTGTAAGAATGGGTGAGACCCTGAGAAAGTTTTGCTGATCCATCCATTTGAATGTCGTGTGTACATGTATACGATGGTTAGAGATGTTTTGTATTTTTAGCGTATAAGGAAGGATACACGTTAGTTTTAGATGCCCTTATACACTGGCATACGGATTGAAATTGACAAGTGTTAGTCTCTCCAAACACAAGATGGGCTCAACATGTGAAAATACAAGACCACATTATCGTGTTTTGTTTTGTCTGACATAAAGGAAGGGAAACTTCGACATGATTTTTAATGTGACCCTAGCCTGTGATTTATGCTTCACCCAAATGTTACGACTTGATTTTTTTTTTTTAACATTGTGTAATTCGCTTTGATAAGAAAAGACATGAAGGAGAAATTATGTAGTGTGTAGAAAATTTCATTTTGTGAAAGTTGGGTTTTTTGCTGATTATTGAAGTGAGATTAAAATCTGTTAGATTAGTGTATATATGGATTTATCCCCCCAAAGGCCACTGTGGTGCAGGGACTAATTAGGATGTGATTTCATCAACTTCAAAGATATTTCACAGGACATGCAGGCCAGCTTTCATGTCTGATTTAGAATCAAGGTGAAAGCAAGGCCAATGAATTGTAATGTCTATATACTGAAGACAGTGAAGGATATATTATACATTCAAGAATTTGGAACATGTGCAGAATGCATAGTGACCATTCCTTTGGCCGGTTAACAAACATACTTTCTGTTTGAATGACCCCTTTTGACACCTGAAATGTCCTCATTTCAAATATTTTGAAAAGAAAAAAAAATTAATTGAGATAATTATTAAGAAACACAAGGAAGCAATGCTGTTGGGGAGGATGGCTTTGGACTGTGACAACATACTGGATCTGTTTGACCTGAAAATCAAAGAAATATACGTAGGTCTGGGATTGGTACCATCTGACTCCTGGCCAGAGCGAGTCCTCGAGTCACCTGAGCGAGTCCTCGAGTTGCCAGAGCGAGTCCTTGAGTTGCCAGAGCGAGCCCTCGAGTCGCCAGTGAGAAATCTCGAGTACTTGATTGAAGGTTCCTGGTTTGATTCATATTTATCCAATTTTAGAATTTTGTTTTAGCTCTGAAGTTCCTTGTTATAATTATGTAAATCATGCATGTTCAGTTCAATGTTGAATCCATGTTGTTCCTTTTTTATGTACCACTTATTTCATTATGCAGGGTTTTTTTGTTTTAACTTTTCTGTTTTTTTAATGAATTAATTTTTCCTTTGTGAACATATATTCCTTTAAATATTTACTGAACCACACATCTATGTGATAGACCCTTGGTATTTAAAGATATGTGTAGAAAAAACACAGGTAAGTCCTCGAAACATTTGAAGGTCATATATAACGTAGATTATATAACAGGGTTAGTGACTGTCTGCAGGCCTAAGTAAACCAACATTTAACATGTCTAAAAGAAAATTCCGACTTTTTTTACAACTTGGAGCCCAAATCCAAAATATTTTTTACGCAAAGTCTCTACACTTCTCAGATTTATTTTTTTTTGGTACAAAAATTGTATATGTACAATGTACAGTGTCACATATTTAAGCACAGTACTTGTCATTTTGGAAAAGTTTTTTGTTCGTTACACTGTATACAGACATAAACAACTTGAGATTGGTTTATAATATATACAATGTAGATTTTACATTGTAGAAAGAAGTCTGGGGAAAGGGTCAAAAGCTAAAAGTAATTTGGTCCAGAATTTGTTTTGGTTGAGTTTTGAAAAGTAATTTTGCTATGTACCCATATATAGATGCCATATTGTACAAGCACTTTGATAAATGAAGATCGCATGGGTATTTATATTGAAAGATGCAAATGGCCACACATGACAAAATTTTGAAAAAGTGAATGATCCTGCTGAACAATCAATGTTCTTTGTTTGGCATAAAAGTATGATGTTTAAAATTCTATTCTTTCCAGATTTTTTTGTAAAGTCCATGCTGTATCACATTGTTTTTATCTGTTGATCATAATAATATATATGCTAGCTACAATAATACAGACCTCTCTGATGTTTTGATGTTTTCATCCCCCCCCCCCCCCCCCCCCAAAAAAAAAATGGAGAGCCGGGCTACATTATTGCAGCTAAATATATGGATAAAGATGTTAAAATCATCACTACATTGTAATTTACTTAAAGTATCTGAGGGTTTATCAATTACCTTGGTACTTTTCTATCAATATCACTGTAACTTTGTCTAAAGAAGAAAAGATACATTTGTGTACATAGTAATTCCCCCTATTCAAATACATTGCATAGTATGCAATTTTGAGGGGCACATCTCTGTGAGACTGAAAGTTTTATAAAATACTTAAGTATGCAGAAAGTATATAATGCATAAAAATGTCTCTCCTTTTTTTAAAGATTAAAATAGCTTTTATTTAAGTGTAGATTAACAAAAAAATAATTAGATAAGATATTTTTAGTCACTGACAACTTCTGAATTGCCCCGAAAAATTTAAGAAGCAGCAGTTTATAAACTGACTTGATTACATTTTATTTACTGACCCAAAATGTTTGTCTTGTATGCAGTGTCATGTCCTCTGCAGTTATCTGGAAGCTTAAGGTTCATCGATACTCTGATAAGAGAGATAACTCTTAATGACATACATGTAAATGTCTATTATTCCTTTATAAATCTGTCAAGTTTAAGTGTCTTTTGATCATAAGAGTTAAAGAAACATTTTATATGAGTGAGCACAGGGTTAAAGAACCTTAAACACATTATGACAAGAAACCGTCAAAATAAAAAAGAAAAGGGTTGACTGAGTATAAGTGAATTCCTTTTGAGATTTCCCCTGTTAGTACAAGTACACATGACTTTAGTATGAATAAGTACTTAGTTCAAGGAAGAACTGTTGTGGCAATATGTACTTGTATGTGTATTGAACTTAAAGTCTGTCCTCTATTTCCACCCATGAGTAATGACTGTCAATTTAAATTGTATTAAATTTATAGAACAGAACAACAATTAAGTACTACTACAAATTACAGATTCATATCAGAGAGAATCTTTTTCATATTTCCTGAGAATTCATAATTTCTTCTTTAGTTATTTTTCAGTGTATCACATTAAACTTCTAATCAGTATCTTTTACAATACAGGAATGTTGCCATTATACTAGTATTTATATACATATATCTACAGGGCCAAACTAAATCTGTTTATTTGTCTGTTTTATCTCAAAATTTTTATTGTACATGTTTATATCATGTATCAAAAAATAAATTCATAATGTGAGTTAATGTATTGATTTAAGACACACATATACACAAGTAACATAATTTTCAATGATTTATATAACTCACAGTTGCATTACACCGATTCTGTATTTCAGAGTGATTTGAATCAGGTATAAGATATAATTGATGCAACCCATGTTTATTTCTATCAATTTGATATAAATTACTGTTATAATCAACTTGCATCCCTAACGTTTATTTCAGATTCTGGGACGCGGTCCAGCTCGGAGCATCTGTCGAGTCCAGAGCCCTCAAATGTCAATCATTCCAGCCCCCCCTGGGGAAGTCCTCTCCCCTCTAGCTCTTTCTCCTCAGAACCAGGTAATCAGATTAATTAATTAGCTTCTGAAAGTGTGGTGTCTGTATCTACCTGTTATGAACAGTCATTATAGGTGTACTGTGTGTAGGGAATTCCCCCCCCCCCCCCCCCATCCCTTTCTCCTTCGTGGGAAAATTTAAAATGGGCAAAATTCAGAGAAAACAATGTTGTATCTTTAATGAAACTGTATTTGGGCAAATTTAGAAGGGCAAAATACTTTGCAACTGTGAAAGTTCAAAAATAATGTGGGGCAAAAATAATAACCCTGTATACAGTATTCCCTACAGTGTGTACATATTTGGCTGCATTTCAGTTTAGTGTTGTTTTAAATGTGTATAGTTTTCATTTTTAGCTCACCTCGACGAAGTCGAGATGAGCTTATGCTATACCCCCGGCGTCGGTGTCGGCGTTAGCGTCGGCGTCCCAGGTTAAAGTTTTAGGAGCAAGTCCCATTCCCAAGTAACTATAAGCCCTACCTGGACCAAACTTGCATGGATGATGCATCTAGGGATGGACACTACCAAACTTGCTTCGGATGCTGGATCTGACCTAGATTTTCCGGATGAGTGACCAGGTTTAAGTTTGAGGAGCAGGTCCATTCCCAAGTAACTATAAGCCCTACCTTGACCAAACTTGCATGGATGATGCATCTAGGGATGGACATGGCCACACTGACTTCGGATGCTGGATCTGACCTAGATTTTCCAGATGAGTGGCCAGGTTAAACTTTTAGGAGCAGGTCCATTCCCAAGTAACTATAAGCCCTACTTGGACCAAACTTGCATGGATGATGCATCTAAGGATGGACACTACCACATTTGCTTCGGATGGATCTGACCTAGATTTTCCAGATGAGTGACCAGGTTTAAGTTTGAGGAGCAGGTCCATTCCCAAGTAACTATAAGCCCTACCTGGACCAAACTTGCATGGATGATGCATCCAGTGATGGACACTACCACACTTGCTTCGGATGCTGGATCTGACCCAGATTTTCCACATGTGAGACCAGGTTTAGATTTAGGAGTAGTCTCGTTCCCAAGTAACTATAAGCCCTACCTGGACCAAACTTTCATGGATGATGCATCTAGGGATGTACACTAACCAACCTGCTTCGAATGCTGGATCTGACCTAGATTTTCCACATGAGTGAATTTTAGCCATATTTTAACCAAATTAGCATGGATGATGTATCTAGGGATGGACACTTCCAGACTCGCCTTGGATTCTGAATCTGACGTACATTTTCCAGATGAGTGACCAGGGTAATTTTTTTGGAGTAGCTATATAATATTATGGCCTGTTATGATTAAAGTTGCATAGATGGTGCATCTAAGGATGAAAACTTCCAGACTTGCTTTGGATGTTGGAACTGACCAAAATTTTCTTGATTACTAAACAGGTCAAAAGTTTTTTGAGCAGGTCTATAATTAAATCAAACTTGCATGGATATTGATCTTGGGATGTAACCTAACTAGAAAAAAAATATGTGAAATTTGCCTTACATGTAGATAACATTCGTCGAGGTGAGCTTCGTAATCTTTGATTACCTATGTTTTGAAATATTAAGTTGAGTAGTAATGCAGTGTACTTTTATCATTGAGCATTTGTTTAACATTCTATTTTACTTTTTTTATAGTCTTACATTCTGTGCTGTAACAGTTTAAATTCTATTCTACACCATCATGGTTAAACAATTCTATTCCATTCTAAAGGACTGTTTCAGCTTGAAATTGCATTGTACATCATCATACTTTAACACTTTTTTTCTACAGTATGGGTGGGGGTGGAGTGGATTGTGGGCAGAGGGGAATTAGTCCTATTTGGACAACTCTAGTTTCTTTTGCTTTGACCTGGATGTGCTTTTCTTAATTTGCATTTTCTCATCAGAAAGTAAAATTAAGTTGATAACAGAGCTTGTTTTTCTCTTTGCATGGCTTGCATATCTTTTTCTTGCTACAGTCCATATAAAATCATAAAATTCCTATCTGCTGTTGTGGACAAAGATGGATGTTCAGTTTTAATTTGTAAATACTTCAATGCTTTTATTTTGTTTACTTTAAAATTACGAATATTTTACTGAAAAACCACCGGTTGTCTGTGGAAGGCTAGAAATTAGACTTGTATTTGACACTTTATTTATGGCCATTGAGCAGTCTTTATGTGCCAACACAACAATACTGTACAACCTGTCCCATTCAAATGATAAGTTTCCATGTCTTCTTCAGTGAAAGATAAATCTAGTCTTAGACTAGCACTGGGGAAGCTGACATTATATTTAGTATCATAGACTCCTTATAGCAGACATAGTCTTTTCATTGGAATCCTTTTGTCAATGTCAAAAAATGGAAGATTTGAAGATTTGAAGCATAAAAAGCCTTTGATTGTGTTGATGTCTGTTTTAAGAATTACATTCCTGAATATTTGCTGTCATGCCACATTCTTTTCCAGATGTTTTTGCCAGCTCTATTTGTACTGAAATAGCTCTGACTAGTACCCCAGTAAAGGAATCAGCCCAAACAGTTGTTCTGAGAAAAAAGCCAAAAAGTATCCACAAAAAATCTAACTTGTGTTGCACGATTTGTTTTGTTGAAAGTTAAATAGTCTGATCTCTAATACAGGATTAGGAAAATTCATTTGCATAAACTAACATTTTTTGCTAACATTGATGTTGTTGCACTTGTAATTTTTAACCCTTATGTGTGAATGGCATTATATCACAAGTTCTTCCCTTTTCTCCCCAATAAAAAAGTTATTTATGGTAATCATGCACCATTCACTGGTCTCTGTTGATTTAGCGGAAGTCTTAATTGCAATATTAATTTTAACGAGTCAAATCTTATAATATACAGTACTGTTTATGCTTTACCCACAAAGAAGGAGAAGCATTTGGTAGGTTTTCCCTCCCATTTATTTTGTGGAATTTTTCTCATGTTTCATCACTGGTACTAATTTACTGTAAGGTTTTAGTTACTTAGAACTGTAAATGAAACAAAATTACTAAAAACACATGAAAATTTGTGTCTGTAAATATTTTAATTTCAGCTATTAACCACAATCATAATAGTTAATAATAATAGCGATTCAGATTTTTTGTGATTAACTCTTCACTGCTATTCATTTTATTTAATATTATGTGTTAAATTTGCAAAATTTTGCATTTCAATTTGGAACACAATACCAAAGAGAAAAGATTTTAATATTAACAACTTTATTTTGAATTCTGTGATTTAGATCAAATCCTAAACTTTTACAAAAGCGTCAAAATCCCAGAAATCACATATATTGAAAGGTACTTCATTTTTTCCCTAGTTCTGCCTGTGTCTACCTCAGATGACCTTCTCCTTCCAAATACACCAATCAAAGACGTTAACTCCACCGTGGTACTACGACGCAAATCAGAAAGTAAGTACACCAATCAAAGACGTTACAGACCCTGAAACGTGCTACTACCCCACACGCACGCTGCACGAACGGTACACGCTCGCTACACGATTTGCACGAAACGCTGCACGGTTTACACGAAAGCCTGCACGAAACGCTTTGTACACGTTTCTCACACGCTTTGTACACGATTCTCGCACACTTTGGCCTCAATCTGGATTTTCTATTCGGAATCTCTCGGGCTTTATTTCAATTATTACGGATTAATCAACGAGTAGTTAAGAATTACAATCATTCAGATTAAGTTAAGATTAAAACTCGCTACATGTACACCAGTACTATAATATTAACAGATAAAATACTCAATGTTCAGTTGTAATTAATTAATAGTTGTCAATGAGTATGTGACCCGCCCGGTGAAATGCTTATCATCGTCAAACTTTTTATTTCACTAGACTCTAAATTACGCACTGAAAAAAAATAATTATATCTGTAATTCATAATCTTTTACAGCATTTAATGTTTTTACAATTATAGTTTGATATTAAAAAGTCGTTCCATTACTGACTTTATTACTGACAAATAAACTCAGTTTCACAGTTATATTTGAAAAAAAAATATTGATTAAATTGCGTATGATATCTGTAAACGGATTGATTTTCTTTTCCTTTTTTTTTTTTATTATTGATTGATTTATACATTTTTTTGATTTAATAAGAAAATAATTTCATTTGATTAAATTAGGCTCTGTTTATAATTTACAAATGTAATATGTACATTGCATCAAACAGGAACATTGTACAGGAAGGGGGGGGGGGGGGGTTAGATTACCGTGATCTTACTGTTGTATCTTCAAATCTGTACATGGCTAAATATAACGGACACTTGTTTCAGTAAATAAACAATCGGCAAAAAAATTATTATAGAAACAAGTGCCCGTTCTAGGGAAAAAAAAAGATATTCATGTCTCCAGCGGGACCCGATACATGTAATTCATTAATATGCACTTTATTCAGAATGGTAAATATATCGTTTCATTACAGAGTTAAAATTTAATTTATCATTAAAATCTTATATGGTAGAGAAGCCAGGGAATATGTATTGTAATTCTTTCATTCTATTTTCCGGTATTGTGTTTATCAAATATCAATATACCCACCACCTTTTAAAATCCTTGATTTCAAACCCCGTCTAGAAAAAAAAAATCAATAATTATGTAATCAATAGTCGCAGCTCTTAACAATACATTCAATATATATGTATACATGTCCTATGTCCTAAAAACTAAACAAAATTATGCTCTACAACTGCGTAATTAATAAAATCCAATAATTATATTATTATAAAGGATTTATTTCCTTATATTATTTTATTCACGAATACACTGGCAAATTAATTCACTGTTTACAGACAATCGGATAAATTTAAGAAATAAAATCAACGGGTATTACCGTTTAATTAATCGATCGTTATTGTCGGGTGTCATCTTAGCTATGATTGACAAAAGATAATAGCAGAACAAGTTTTCAGTCCCGGCACGTACGCGGAGTCCGTGATCGCTGTTGTAAATGACCTTGATCACAGTCGTAAGAAGAGTGCTGAAAGTGTGAAAAAGAATTAGTTACATGCAACACAGAATGACATGTTGATCCAACAATAGTCATATTTAAAATAAAAGGACTTCCGAATGAATCCTACACGTTTCTCACACGATTCTTGCACGAAAGTCGCACGTTTCTCACATGGTTCTTACACGAAAGTCGCACGTTTCTCACACGCTTCTCGCACACTCGCTACACGGTTTGCACGAAACGCTTTGGAGCTTACACGAAACGCTGCACGGTTTACACGAAACACTACACAGTTTGCACGAAACGCTACACGGTTTGCACGAAACGAAAAGCGCACGAAAGTCACACGCTTTTCTGGGGTAGTAGCATGTTTCAGGGTCTGTAACTCCACCGTGGTACTACGACGTAAGTCAAAAAGTACACCAATCAAAGACGTTAACTCCACTGTGGTACTACGACGTAAGTCAAAAAGTACACCAATCAAAGACGTTAACTCCACTGTGGTACTACGACGTAAGTCAGAAAGTAAGTACACCTAGTCTGACACAAGTCAGAAAGTCAGTAAACGTGGACAGGGGCAGGACCAGTGTATACTGTAGTATTCTGCAGGAAGTCAAAAAGCAGGAAACTTTTACAGCAAAGAACATGCCAAATAGTATAATTGGACAGCAGGTACATGTATATGTCTGTTTTGGTACAGTTAAACCTTAGATAGTTTTTGACATTTTTTCTATCCACCCTCTTCTCTTCATTAAGTTTATATTTATAATCGAGATGGTTCAACTAGGTTCTGTTACAAAAAATATTTGTTTTAATTTTCAGCATCTCCTGAAGATGAGGCAATCAAATTGCAGAGACGGACATCGTATCTCATGGCAACAGCCAAGGACAGGGACTCACACAAATTGTCATTGGACAAGACTCACTCTCCCAGCCAATCACAGACAGAGATACATGTTCAGTGAGTAAAGTAGGATTTCATTGGTCCATACGACCATGACATTTTGAGACAGAAGTGCATTAGAATTTTTATAATCACGGAGAGTCAGTTCAAAGATAAATTATATATATTATTTACTTAAAAATTATCAAAATTAAATTAATTTGCTTGCTCACTTATATCTAAAACAAGCAATGGGAAAACATGATTGAGGTGGGGTGGGACTGGGGTTGGGTTCGTAAACGATGTAGTTGGAATAATATCTTTGATATGGGGTCATTAAAATCTGAGTGTACTGTAGATTCCTTATTTTAAGCAAATACTTAATATCAAGAAATGACTCAATATCAAATGGAGAGTACAATAATTCTAACACTATTAATACTAACTTTTTTTTTTAGGATTACCCCTCAAAAGCCCTCCATGAGGAAACTAAAGTCTTTCTTTGGGGAAAAAGTAAGTAAACAAATTCCAAGGGAGATAATCTTGCATCCTGCAAAGTGACAATGCATAAGGGGAGTGATATTATATGTTCGCAAAATGAAAAAGCATAGTGTAGGACGTATGTTTCCAAGGTTTTAAACTTTAGGAAAGAGATGTTTTGCTTGAGTGACAAATGTTAGGCTTGAGTGACAAATGTTAAGGAGGTGTTATTATGCTCCAAATATGAAAAATCATTTGGGGTCTTATAATGTTCCAAAACTGACAAATTATAGTGGAAGTGATATTTTCCCAAAGTGAAAAATCTTGGAAAGATGTTCCTGAATTGACAAATTTTCTTACTGCCTAATTTTGTCTAACAAAACTTCCATAAGTAATTGTTGCACTCTTTAAGGTCAAAAGGATAATTCAGTTACCTTGTAAATAGAGGGAAAAAAATTTTAATCAATTTTTAAGATTTTTTTTCCTTGTAAATTTGTGCTTTTTGCTGGGGGCTTTCATTAATTTGAAAGATTATGATGAAATGCCAATTTAACATAAAAAAAAAATCACTCTTCAAAATTCATTATGTATGTTTAATACAGAACCTGTCGAGAAAAAGCAACATTTCTGTCATAAGCTTTACATAACAAGCATAATAGAGAATTAAATTTTTTTTTTAATATTAGCCAGGGTATTTTTGCCAATTTTCCAAACCTTTGTGAGTGGATTATTTCGAGCAAATATCAGGAAATTATAAAAATCATATAAAACTATGGAAAAAATCTGTTTTTAAAACAATTTGTATGGCTTTTTTGTCACAAAATATGTGGTGTGATTATAGGAATTTCTACTTTGAAGTATTGAGGCCTCAGAAAGAGATGATTTTCTTTTTAAGAGTTGTCCATAGTATGATTGACCCCACTGATTATTGAGGCTACAGAGAGGGAAATAATCATTTTTAAATGGACCTTTATATTTTCAGACACCTCGGATTATTGAGGCCACAGAGAGGAGACAAGATCCTGCTAGTCCCCTTCAGGTCGTCACAAAAAGTGGTTCCCTCTTCTGTAAGACAGACGTAACGGACGGCAAGGTAACAATAGTATAGGCACTATAATACACCCTCAACCTACCACCCCCTAATTCAAAGTAACACCACCATAAGCACTACAATATACCCCCCCCCCCCCCCCCGGGTACAATTTCAAGGTAACACCAAGTTAAACACTACAAAATATCCCACCTAAGCCCCCCTCCCCCTACAATGTACCCCCCACCCACCTACCCTCCCCCATACACACACATACACACGCATTTCAAGAAAACACCAACATAAGCACTACAACATACCCACCCACACCTAACCATCCTCCCCAACCATACAGTACCAACCAGACCCAACCTGACATAAAGCAGTCCCAGAGCAGTCCCGGGGACTGCTTTCTGGGACTGCTAAAGCAGTCCCAGAGCGGTCCCAGAGCAGTCCCACAGCGGTCCCAGAGCAGTCCCACAGCGGTCCCAGCAGTCCCAGTGGTCCCAGAAAGCAGTCCCAGCAGTCCCAGAAAGCAGTCCCAGTGGGCGGGGTTAATTAATTTAATGGGCGGAGCTTACTCAGAATGTGATTACCAATAAACAATGTAACTATATAAAAGGCAGTTGAAATTGATGAGCAATTCTTTCTGAGTAGTATCAACAAATATTTACAATTCTTACGCGACAGTCATTTCTGAACTTTTAAGAAAATCACAGTACGCGTATAGAAACAAATTAAAATTATTGAATGAAGAAGACGCTCACATATATCAATAACATGAATATTTAAACACAATTATTTGGTATATTAATTTTTAACCAAAATTAACCAATTTCTTTATTTTTTGTGATTGATATTGGTTTTCATATTTATTTTTTTATATAGAAAATTAAACTTGAATTGTTTATATTATACCAAAATTAGCTTTAAATAGATAATAATAATTATAGAGCAAGACCGATTCCCATACTATACTCTGAATGCATTTTTCTTAAGTATTGGAGCTTTTGAAAAATTCTTTGTTAAACATTGCAGAGTATTATATTTCAGTCATGATTATTTTCAATGACTTCTTAATTAAATTATCTTTAGATTCTCAGTTTTAAGTGTTTTATTTTATAAATGTTCAAGTGTACATCTGTAAATCACGCAAATGGAACCCTCAGATTATGTTCAAAATTAATTAATCCCGAAATAAATTTATACACAATTATTGAAACTAAGATTTTTTGCAGGACATAGATTGAAATTAGTGTCAATGTTGACCAGCGTGTTCAATGATGTGTAACACTGATACCCAAATAACATGCATTGACTTTCTGCTAATTATGTCCAAAGGTGATTGAAACCTCAGGTGTTGACACCATTTTATACAATCCAGCTGTATTAACTGGCCAGGTAAACACAAACAAAGAAATAAGAAACAGGTCACAATTCCCGATATTTTCAAATGTTTATTTTTTAAATAAATGTACTCTTTTAATAACTTGTTTATAAATTAAAAACTAATTCATAAATAAATCCCCGAATAATTGTTCACATTGTTTATGTGACAGAAGAATGGTAGAATAATTTTATTTCATGGTCATTAAATAAATTATTAGATTTTATTTGAGGGTGATAAAAAATGGCATGGAGTGCTCTTTTTTAAGCATGGTATTAGCTTTTTCAATTAAGAAAAAAAATCCAGTACAGTACGTTCCTCTGAATACATGTATCTTACTGAAATGACAAGTTTGTTTGTTTTTAAATAGTGCTAATGCAAACTTTGAGTACATATGTAATTTGAAAGCATTAATTTATTAAATAGGCCTAGATATTTTTTTTTCAAACACCTGTATTGAAGTTTAATTTAAGGAATAAAAATCATCCCCTGACTTCCCTTTTAACTACTTTTATTTTCTTAAAATTAATTCTAGACTACAATTGTGTAAATTTACAGCCCTCTTAAGACATTTAGTAATTACATGTATAACTATCTCTATTTATTCAATTTTTGTAAGAAATTAATACTTGTTTTTTTATATTTGTTTCTATCTTAAACACCTCTCTGCAGAAAGTAAACAAAACAACAACAAAGAGCTGCAAATTCAGAATACACAAGGGGCGAAGCTATCATGTCACTCAGAACCTTTTTCACGCATGAGTGAACAAAGCAGTCCCAGAAAGCAGTCCCAGGGACTGCTGGGACTGCTAGGTCTGCTTTCTAGAGCAGTCCCACAGCAGTCCCATAGCGGTCCCAGAGCAGTCCCACAGCTGTCCCAGAGCAGTCCCACAGCAGTCCCAGAGCGGTCCCAAAGCAGTCCCTGGGACTGCTTTCTGGGACTGCTTTGGTGTCAGGTTGGGTCTGGTTGGTACTGTACCAAGGTAACCCTGACACAAGCACTACCAACTTAACACACACCAACCTGCCCACCCGCCCCAACCATAATAAGGTAACACTAACATAGGCAACTACAATATATCCCAACCCAACCTGCCCCTCTCCTCCCCCTACAATACATCCCAACCTACCCTACCCTTTCCCTACAATACCAAGGTTACACCAACACCTACAATATACCCCAAACCTACCCCAACCCAACCCTCCCCATACTGTGTCAAGGTAACACTAAAACTAGAGAACCCTCATCAACCCCCCCCCCCCTCCCCCCCCCAATATTAATGTAAAACAGGAAAAATAGACTGACTGTGGTCACTCTGATACTTTAGGGATTAATTGGCACACACTTTTTGTTTTGCATATGATCTTTTTTAACTATTAATTGAAAGAAGATAAAGGGAACATGTGAGATTCTCAATCCACTTTGACTTATTTGTGCCTATGTTAATGCCTCCTCCTATATGCCATAATATATGCTTCATTATGCCTCCATCATGTCTTGGTATTCCCCATCTGTGCTTCAAGTAGCATTCATTTGATATCAAAAGAAAACCTTTGGTTTAAATGTTACTAAATGAGTAAAGTTTTATATATAATAGAAGAGAAGGGGAGCGAGAGAGGAGAGAGAGAGAGAGAAAATTCTTTTTATCATTATAGACATTTTAAAGTATTGTAAACATACTTTATTCCACAGGGTCATAATTCCGCGGAATCACAATTTCTGTTCAATCCGCGAGTATAAAATTACGCGGATATCTTGGATCATTGGTATATGTCCTCAATGAATCTTAAATTTCCGTGGATAAATTGTGACGGCTTACATAGAGGAAATTAATCCCACATGGAAAAAAGAACGTCTACAGTATTTTAACTTTTTTTTTGTATAAAACATCATTTCAATACTACATATAGATATTGTATTTTGTACAGACTCAGTGTGAGCCGTCTTGTGTGAGGGTTTGTATATTTATCCTATATCTGATTTTTATAGGGAAGATGAGTTACTCTCTGTGTCAAAAACTCAGGAAGTGTGATTAGGGCCGAATGCTCCATTCATCGGCATTTTTTCTGTAGGCTTTGTTATTTCAGAGGAAGGCTAATTTCCTCACTGGTGAAATATTGCCAGAATGATATGCACATAATACTTGGATGTAATCTGCTGCAGAATGCATTTATTTTTTTTGGGGATATCATTTTTTGGAGTCGAGAACAAGCTACAGAGATTTCCTGTTTGTAGTGAGTGATGGAGGGATGAGTCATTATTTGCCTCTGTCCTAACCCTAACCATGACGACTTCATGTGTCACATTATTGATTGAATGAATATGTCTTGGAAAATTTTACAGAGGAGAGAAAAAACACTTGTAGCTGTTTGGAAAACAGATAAAATATTCAGAAGATTCCTCACACTGTCTGTGACTTCTGAATTTCCTTCCTTCTTGTAACTAAAATAATGATTTATATTGAGTTGGTGGAGATCATCAGAATTTTGAATGAATTGAATTCAAAGTTTTACTCTGCATTTACAACAGTCTGCTTTTCATTACCTTGTATCACACAGATAGCCAAGAAAATTATAGTCATATACAGGATGCATATGCAAGAAAATAAAAAAAAAAGTTACTTCATAGTCTGAATAACAGAAAGTGTTCAATTAATTCACTAGTAAAGTGATATTGGTCTATCATTTTTTCATACTTTTACCGGTAGCCCTGCTTGTTGAAGACTAGAACATATGCTAGCCTTGATACACACAGACATAATTCTACACATCAGTCTGAGTGTTCATTTTACTGATTGACTGTGCCATTCTTAATAGAAATAAAAAAAAAATCTGTGAAATATTGTCACAATACCCCCCTCCCACTGATTTTGTCTCAATGCATAAACTATGACTCTGCTTTTTATAAGTACATTGTATTGTTATAGTAGTATTTCATTTTGATTTCATCCACATGAAATACCAGAAGCACCCCCCCCCCCCCCAACTCCCACACAGTCACAGACCTGCATCTTCAATTGAAAAATTTAAAAATGCCTGTATGATATTTTCTGAAGATTAGACACATTGAGATATATTTTTCAAAAAGACTTTTAGTATGCTGATGAAAATAATTTGATTATATTCTTTACACTGATAGAAATATTTTGATATTACATAGATCATGAGATTATGTCATCATCAAAATAGAAATCTTTCTCTTTGTTTGTAACATAGTTTATGTCATCATTATTTTTTTTTTTTTAATGTTCACACCCCTTCAAATTTTGGGGCTAATTAGGTCATTAAAAATAGAGAATATTACATACTGAAACCATATCATATGTCATATCAGCCCGAGTGGCCCCATATCAGCCCTCGGGCCTTCGGCCCAAGGGCTGATATGAGGCCACTCGGGCTGATATGACATATGATATGGATTTCAGTATGTAGTATTCTAATTATCATATATTTAAAATACTTAATATGCAAGTTCACATAAAGTTATTGAAGAATGTTTCGTGCATCTTTATGACCTTTTTCTTTAAAAATCTAATAGAGCCAATTTTAGGTCTTTTGAAAACAAATTAACTCCACAAATGTTTTTAAAAAATTATTTTACATATACATTTAAATGAAATCAAGTTAATTAACTTTTAAACTCTATACAAATGTTACTTTCGGTTTGATATGGATTTTTCCATGCCGGTCCAATACATGATATGGACTTTCGGACCGGTCCTTGATATTGGGTATTGTGACGTCACTCATATTGCGCAGTGTAGAATTGGTGTATTTACTACTAAGTATATGATAATTGGTAATAGCATTTACACGGAGTATTATATCAGCTCAATAAAAGCAACATTTAAAAAAAAAAATTCTCTGTTAAGACAATTTTGACCTTAAGAAAACTTGATAAAATAAGATATTACCGGTGTATGATTAAAATCTTTATATGATTGACATTTTAGAAAGCCAGTGACAGGTCTTGGAAGCCAGTGTGGGTGGAGCTTAGAGGTCATGCCCTCTACATCTCAAAGGAAAACAAGGAGAAAAAAGATCCTGCTGTGGTATGAAGTCCTCTAAATCTCTCTTTCTCTCTCTTACCTCTCTCACTCCCTCACCTCTCTCTGTGTCTCTCCCTTCTTTCTCTCTTACTTCTCCCCCGCTCTCTCCTCTCTCTCTCTCTCTCTCTCTCTCTCTCTCTCTCTCTGATTTTCTTAAATGAAAATAAAAGAAATGATAATTCTCTTTATCTCTGACCTTTTAAATGAATATATTTAAAAAAAATGATGATACAATTTCAGATTCACACCTTCAATTTTGATGACCAGCCAATTTCTATCAAATCCTGCTTGGTGGACATAGCACATGATTACACGAAGAAGAAGAATGTGTTTCGGTTGAAGACCTTTAATGGCTCAGAGTACCTGTTCCAGGCAGAGGAAAATGGTGCCATGTTGGACTGGATCAAAGCAATTCAGTCCAACAATAATCCAGATGCAGATGTAAGTCAAAAATTGTAATGCAGTGTTCTGAGTTCTTTTTGAAGTATTAAAATTGAATTGTTCTTCAGTGTTAATTTGTCCAGTTTAGGGATTGTAATTTTGTTCCCTTTCTTTGTTTTTGATGTTGTTTTTTGTGTTTCTGTATAATATAAATCCCTTTTGTTCACTATGGTTTGAACTCATTGACAGCTTAACATGTGATTTGATACTGACATTATTTTTTTAAGTTCCATGTTAAGGTCACCTGACTTACCAAGTTGACAGACCCATCCTGTTTTGTGCATCTCTCATAACATATAAACATTTTCGGCATTTTCTATGAATTGGTTGAACCAATTTGTAACATCTTTGGATAGAGGGGTAGGGTGGTGATGGTTGTGGGGTCAAATATTATTAATTTTATAGCCCCTCCCCCCTGGGGCCAGAGGGTGGGTCTACAGCCATTATAACCTATGCAGGTTTCAAAAATCTTTTTTCCTGGACATCCAGCAGGTAAACTGTTTGCCTGGAGATAATGATCAGCTAGCACTCTGTCAAAAGTTGAAAATCATGGGTTTAGTGTCAAGACCCTGGACACTGCAAACTCATATTGTTCATATATTGAAAATATTATGAATAATGAACAAAGAGTCCTCACCAAATAATATAATTCATGTTAAATGAGTGCAGAGTTCAAGCTTCCAATGGGGCTGAATTGTTTAATTCTAGCCTGAGAAACTCAGAATCTCAGGTGACTGTCAAGGCCTGTGGGCCTTTTGTTGACATTTTCACATAATAAGCCTGATTTTCAAAATTTTAAGCCATATATCCATTGCATGCATCCAAACAATTTATGAATTTTTTGACCAATTATCAGAAATTTTAAATATAATATTGCATTTCCCTATTTTAGAATCAATCTTATGTAAGTATATTTTGATTAAAAAATATCAGCCAATCTAGATGAAACTTGGCTCACAGAGCTACACATTCCTTCTGATAAAATAAATTTCTTTTTAGTCACAGGTCATTTGCATGCCATTTGTGTTCCTTGAGTGATTATTGCTTTAGAAGGCTAAATCAGTGTAAAAATTGTGTCTTTGTCAGTAGCTGCTTTGGCCAATCAGCTGTCTTTGTTGCTAGCTGCTTTGACCAATCAGCTGTCTTTGTTACTAGCTGCTTTAGCCAATCAGCTTTTTGCCGATTTCTCTGGCCAATCAGCAGCCTTTGTTGATAGTTCTACCAGGTTCCGCCTTCTATTGCAGTGCAAGTCCAGAGTTTGTTTTGCTTATAAGGAATGTGATGCAGTTCTCCAGATAATTAAAAAGTTATGCTGTGTATACTAATAAAATTTTTCAGATTCTTTTAACATGATATATATTATTGTTTTACAATCAGAATATTTATTACTTTTTCATATCTTTGTTCACTATTCAGAGATTATTATATTTTATATTCTGCTGATAGAGGAGACATTTAAATAATGATAATCAAGGGGTTTCACTTAATAACATAGCACTCTATCATTATATGATTATGCCGGACCAAAAGAAGTTATGATCCATATAGAAGCTATGCAGCAAATACAAAAAAAAATTATGTTAGAAATAAAATTTTCTAATGAATCTTGGTAAAGGTTACCCTGTAACATATAATTCCACTATAGAATAACTACAATGTATCAATGCTGGATTTACTGTGGAATCATCAATGTTTGTGGGAGACCATGGGGTTAATGAATTTCATGGGTTACAGTAACCCATGAATTTACATCCCCATCAACGAACTTTGTCATAGTATATCAAGTCATTGCATGTTTTGTAAATGCGAGTAATTCACAAAAATATGTCGTCATGAACCAGTAAAATTTTGGTTACCAATGAACATTTACCCCTACAAAATAAAATGATTCCACAGTATTCATGGATTCTCATAATAAACCAAATATTAAATTGAATTTCCTCTTCTTTTGAAATTTTTTAAATATAAATGAAAATGCTAAATCTTTGTGATTGTTTACAGGAGAGAGGGAAGATGGAGACTGACCTGATCCTTCGCAGCCGGAACCAAATGGAACTTCAATCTGCCCCCGCCCTTACTTCCCACGGATCCACCACTTCACTAAGGACCTCCCCACAGGTGGCCCCCAAAGCCCCCAAACAGAGCAGCAAGACCAAACTGATCAAAATACCTCACTCTCCCAGCATCAAGAGGAAGGGGAAAGGTAAACTACTTGATACAAGTGATATATAGAATCAAAGGTTGGGATAAGGAGCCATTAGGCAAAAACATTGAGATTTAGGGCCAGTGTCCACAGGATAAAATTAACATGATTCACTCCAGTAGATGTGGATTTACTTTTTCCACACTGGGGTTTAAAACACAGCAGTACAGTGGGATAACTCAATCTCTGTGACATTATATGTATTGTCTAACTCTTAATAAGTCACATGGTTAAGTTTGGTATTCTTATGATAAGAGTAGAATTATATATAATGCATGGATTAAGTATTGTGGATTAAGTAAATCAAGTAAATTAATCCAGGTTAACTTAATTCCAAGTGTGGATCAGTCCTTAATTTCCATATATTGTAATGACATTTTGACTGTTGAAGTAAATTTTTCAACAGAGGGTGTAGGAATTATGTGGCAATCCATGTAATAAAAGATTGCCTTCCTTGTGAATATATTATACTGTAAAATAATATTTCGATTTTAAAATGTTTTAAAAGTTCTCTCTGTCTTCCTACAGAGGAAGAATTATTAGTGAGAAAAAAAGTAATATGGTTTAAGGGAGAGAACTCTCTCAGGAATTAAGAAAAACTGAGGAGTTTTTGTTTTACAGAATCCAAGAGTTGGGGATTATCCAAGTTTAAGAGTTTCCGTAAAGGCAGCAGTGTGTCTTCCCACCCTGGAGATTCTGAAAATAATGATATGTTTGGAGTACCTCTGGAGTATTGCATACCTTCACCTAACAATGATGTAATTATATTTTACTTCTCCAAAAGTAAACTTTTCTGATCAAAAAGAGTCTGGTATCCTCAGGTTATTTGTAAATGATTCACATTCAATTCAATGAATTAAGCTTCTTCATAATCTTAGGACAAATATAACAAACATACCACTGGTTATCTTTGGTTGGAAGGGATTGTAATGTTGCAACAATAGAATAATTATTTTTACATGCTAGAAAAGTAAATCTGTTTGTAGGGCCACAATTAGTAATTTAAAATGCAAAGATCCCATGGCAATGAAATATAGGCTCCAGTTTGTTTTATATCATAATTCCCTAGGTGTCTACATTTTAAAAAATCTGTTTCTCAAGTACAGCAGGACAACAAAGTGTAATATTTGATTGTGTGCATCCCCATACAATGAAGCTTCAAGTTTTTAAATTATGGCCCCTGCGACAAGGGTGAGCCAACAATCGGGGTTGAAGTTTTACACAGAAATATGAGTAAAAACTTTTTCAGGAATAATATTTGTACACTTAATATCTAATTTCAAAAAATGCAAATAAATATTTGTTTAATTCATAGACTTAAAGTTGGTGGCTATGATAAGGCGTGTCTCTTAATTAATATCTACAAATTTCTTAATTAGGAAGAGATTGATGGGTCAGATGAGCATTGTGGCCCTCAGGCCTCTTGTTACATCATATATACATTAGAATGAGAAATATGTGTACTGATTTGTTGAATATCAATATCACTAACATTTTCTATACCATTGTCTAGTTTGTGCCAATGATTGTTGACCTTTGCACCAAAATCGTTGAAGCACGAGGGTTAGAGGTCACTGGGGTGTACCGTGTCCCAGGTAATACGGCTTCCGTTAATATGATGATGGAGGAACTAAATAAGGTAATTCGGGGGAACCCTTTTTAAAAAATTTATTATACTTGATCTTTCTCTTTTATATGACAACACTCATGTAAATTTGAAAACTAGATTTTACATTGAAATTTTTTACGTTTGATGATAAATTTAAAAATACCAATCAAAATCCAAAGTTCTTTCATGTACTTTAAAGCAAAAGGAGTGAGGAAATTTCTTCTTTTTTAAGTTTATGGAAAAAAATACATGCACGAAAGTCAGTATTGTAACAGATAGTAGAAGGATAAGTAAGCTGTGTTAATACTTTGACAGGGTATAGATAATATGAACGTGGACCACGAGAAATGGTGCGATGTTAACGTTATTAGCAGTCTACTGAAAACCTTCTTCAGGAACCTCCCTGATCCTCTCATTACCTCAGGTACAAAATGATCTCTGTGTTCTGTATATCTGGATATTTTCTGCAATACTAAATTATCTCTGTATCTTTATAACTGGATATTTTCTACAATACTAAATTATCTCTGTATCTTTATAACTGGATATTTTCTGCAATACTAAATTATCTCTATATCTTTATAACTGGATATTTTCTACAATACTAAATTATCTCTGTATCTTTATAACTGGATATTTTCTGCAATACTAAATTATCTCTGTATCTTTATAACTGGATATTTTCTGCAATCCTAAATTATCTCCATATATTTATAACTGGATATTTTCTGCAATTTGTAATTTTTATACAGTAGAAACTGTCTAATCTGACACCTGTGTAATCCGGTTCACTGTGAATTCTGACCTTTGTTTAAATTCCCATTTTACTAGCTTTCATGTTCTTTACACTGTGTAATCCAACACCCTGTCTATTCCGATACAAACTTTGTCTCCATGTCTGATTAGACAGGTTTCACTGTATTGATTTAGTTTTCAGTAGAAACATTTGATCCTGACAATGTCGTGTTGTTTGCAAGTAAAATATAAATAAAAACTTTAGCTAAATGTTATGAATTTCATTTATATTTCAAAACAATTTTTTGAGAGTTTGTTTGTGAAATAATTTATGTTTGTTTATTGACAGCTCTGTACCAGGACTTTATCGATGCAAACAGAATTGAGGATCTCGAGATGAGAATGCTGAAACTGAAGCGACTCATACACACTCTACCAGAGCACCATTTTGAGACGTTCAAACATATCGCAGAACATCTCAATACGGTCGCCAGTTTTGGACATCTAAACAAAGTAAGATTGTGGAGGGAAATTATTTCTGGTATGAATTATATGCAGATTAACATTGTATATCAGGTTTTTTAAGAAATGTCAATTTGTGGGATGTCCCTTCCACTTAATTTCCTAAAAGTCTGTATTGAGATGAAGAATTGTTATTTATTTATTGAAATTCTTATTATTTTGTTCAAAATAACATTATTTAATCTTTACTATTTTATCCATAGAACAGTAAAGATTCTTTGCAATTTTTATTAATAAAAAGAAATAATCATTTACTGTAACTGAAAAAGTCAGTTGTTATTGTTTTATGATTTTAATTTTCCATTCATTTCAGAATAAGTGAACTTCATTGACACCAGAATACTGACTTTTCTGTCTTTGTTTTAGATGGATGCTAGAAATCTGGCCATTGTATTTGGTCCGACCTTGATAAAAAAGAAGGATGACGACATGACGTCAATTGTTAGGGATATGTCTGACCAGTGTAGGATCATAGAGAGTATCATACTACACGTAAGTTATCTACATACAGACAGACACACATACATATACACATACATACATAGGGATATGTCAGACAAGTGTAGGATAATAGAGAGTATCATACTACACGTAAGTTATCTACGTACAGACAGACACACATACATACATAGGGATATGTCTGACCAGTGTAGGATAATAGAGAGTATCATACTACACGTAAGTTATCTACATACAGACAGACACACATACATACATAGGGATATGTCAGACCAGTGATCTATGTACAGACACACACACACACATACACACATAGGGAAATGTTGGACCAGTGATCTAATTACAGACAGACACACATACATAGGGAGACAAGGAAAAAATTAACCAATTTCTGCTTCTAGCATTGAGACTATTATGTAAAAGTAATAAATCCCATATGACCTGTGGTCATAGGTCATGAGCAAGAAATAATTGCAGTCAATTCCAACCATTGGTTTAAAGAAACCTGAGAAGGCAAAGCTTAAGATATTTTTCTAAAACAACCTCATAAAAAATATATAATATGCATGCATATATAGTATTAAATAACTATTTTGTTGATGGTTGTATTTTATTTACTTTTCAGAATGACTGGTTCTTCAGTTCGTGGGACCAGGATAGTTACGTCCCCGTAGAGGAGGGACGAGAGGATGACGAGGCCCCCTCCAATCCCTCCGTCTCCAAAATGAGCTGCGATGAAGACGGTAGGTCAATAGAGAATAAAGGAGGGGGGGGGGGGTTGAGAGCAAGCCTTGCTAAAAGGCATTTGTGTATAATAAATATATTCACATGTTAGAAGGAACTTATGGTGTATGGCATTATACTGCAGCAATTTACCATACATGAAACAACATAATGAGTAAGTTATTAGATACATGTGCATGAAGATCTTTGGAAATTAAGGGTACATAATGAATATCTAAGAAAAAGTACAAATTCTTAGGAATATGCTATCTAAATAAAGTTATGGCAATAATTAAAAATATTTCACTCTCGAAAACTTTCATGAGAAATCACCTTACTTCATTGCACTAGATGACTGTTTCACATTGATACACAGAGTAATATGAATGATGAAATCTTTAAACACAGTGAAAGCAGATGGGGTTCTATGTTTTTCCTGGGTAGAAAGTTTAGTTTGTATGAGAAAAGAGTATGTTTTTTCAGGCCTACTGTACCAAATTCCTATATACTTGTGAGTAAGATCCTCAAAACAAACTGTAACCTGAGAAACAAACAGAGCATGTACATAATGAAGTACTTTACACTTGTAAGGTTTAGTACATGCCTTATGTATACCACTGAAAAAAATATAGCCAGCTTAATAATCTAGAAACATTTATTTGTTCATACACTTACCTTGATATGGAAATTTTCAAACCTGCTATGAACAATTCTAACAGTGATTGTGTTAATTATGATAAAAATAGATGAATAAATACACATACAGGCTGTGTAGGGTTATATGAGCCTCCCCTTTCTATATCTGGAAGTTTGTTTTTTTTAAACCAAGATAAGTTGTATATATGTATACTGTTTTACAGTAACTGTTGAACTTTGGTATCTCGAATATTGATCTTGAATACCATGGATATGTCAAAGTATCTGATGTCCCAATTACTTTTTCTTTAGGTATTTTAACCTTGATACTTCAAACCGTCAGATAGTTTTTTCATCTTCGAGATTTTTATCAATCAAGTTCAATGATCTTCAACTGTCTTCATTATTTTAAAGATGGGGCAAAAGCAGAAAAAAGGGGGATATTGTGTATTTTGAAAATCAAAACAATTTAACATGAAGTAATGAAGATTTTAATCAATTTTGTTAATGATTTACAATATTAATGCATTTCTTTCTCACAATAATCAGATTTATTGCTATAGTAAATGTTGTTATAGTGTATAAGCAAGAGCTATTAATTTGGTAATATATGATACGCTTTGTAAAGTGTCTTGCTTAAGTTTTGATTCTTCATGACTGACTAATGTTGAAATCATTGAAATACAAAATAATACACTCTTTTGTTTGCTTTCAGATAACACCATAAACCCACGGGATATTGTTTCCTCAATAGTGCAAGCAGCCAATCAGAAAATGCGTAAGAAATCCGCTCCTGCACTAGGGGAAGATCTCAATGCAAGTCTAACGGATGGGGGATTCCGAGAGAGAAACATTGACTTAGAAATCAAACACAGAAAAATGAAATCGCAGGCAGAAATGAAGGCTAGAAGCAGTCCGAACTTACCAGCAATGGCAGCCAGTCATCAAGACACAAGAATTCCATCATCTAACCGGTCGTCAGATAACGTTCCGGAGCGTCGTCTGGCGATGTCTCAGGAGGGAATTGACTCTTCAGAGTGGGAGGACATGCAGAGAGAGAGAACGGGATCAAATTTATTTTCCAAAACCCGGCACTTCTCCTCAGACTCCCTCGACACTCGAGAGGAGATGGAAATGTCACAAAGTGCCAGTCCAACGTTCAGCCATTCAACAATCGAGGCTCTCCGAAAAATTGAAGAAGAAGCTAGGGCTCTCAGAGAGAAAGAAGAGAGGAGACAGCAGAGAGATCTGGAGAGGTGGAAAATAGAGCGACAGAGACAGGAAAACAGTCGAAGGGAAATGGATGCAGAAAAAAGCAAAAGCAATGAAAATCTGTTGGACTTTCACATCGGATCAATTTGGCATTCCACATCTGATATTTTTAACAAACTTGCAAGAGGTGAGTCAAAGGAAGTTCTAGAGAGGAAATTACCTGGAGGGAAATACGATCGTAATTCAACAGCTAGTGCATCTGACAGATCAGAAGGCTCTAGAAAGAACAGCACGGGGAGTAATTCTGGAGGGAAATATTTCGTCATTCAAAGTCTAGGTTCTAGAAATAACAGTCGTGATCGGCTGTCTCAAGGAAGTGCTGAGTCCCCTGTGTTTCCTAGTAAGCGAGCCGGTTCCATGGAACGGCTTTTAGAATCCCCAAAGAAAGATTATTTATCTCCTCCACCCAGAAACTACCCAGGAGAAAAGGGACAATCTAGACCTGCTGGAAGAGATAATCGAGATCGTCGAAGCTCTCGAAAACGTCTTAGTAGAAGTGATTCGGCAAGAAGAGGCTCTCTCGATTCTCTGATAAATCTAGGTCGTCAGTGTTCTCATAATTCCTCAGACTCGGATGAAGGCTCCGACCTTCTTTCTGATCTCACATCAACTTTTGATCAAAAACTTCAAATTTTAGTGAATCCCAAAAATGTGCTTAGTGGAAGTGGTGTTAAAATGACTCAAGAAGTGCTGGACAAAGAAAGTGCTATTTCATGTCTTCCTCCCCAGAAACCATTGGCACAAGCACAATGCAATAAGTTTGGTTTGTGCAGTAGTAATGACATGCTTGAAAAGCAATACAGGGACCCAAGTCTGCACAGATCACCCAAGGATGCAAAAATAGGAATAGCATATCGATTTGAGAGAAGTCCACTCAGTAACACAGCTACCACAAGTCAACAAGACATTGTTGATGGAAACAGTGATCTAAACAATGTAATGTATCCTCGCGAGGAGACGAGACCTTCAGCGACCACACTTCTACCTGTGTCTGCTCACGTACAGGAAATCAGAACAATCACTAGCAATATGTATGGATCCAAAGAATTCCGTGGTAAAACAGAGAGGTCGGAGATCAGCATACCTCTGAACAGGCAGCAGGAGAAGGGACCCCAGTATCAAGGTCGTTACGGAAGGTCATCGAGTACGCCTAAAGACCTCGAGTTGGATTTAAATATTTCAAGAGCTCAAAATTCAAAGGAAAGTAACTCTCAGAAACGAGTGTTTTCACCTCCACCAGAGAGACGAAAAGAAAAACGCCAAAAGCGACGGCACACTGTGGGTGGGACAGATGACCTGGAACACTTCAAAGCTCTGATGACAGTCGTTAATCCTAAGGATGATTGGTCTCCAAAAATATCTGCCTGGGATCAACTTCAACCTGTGGTGAAGGACATGCCTCAGGGGTCACAACGGTCCATGTTGTCCTGGTTACAAAACGAGAGGCTGCGAGAAAGTTCACCCGATTTATCTGCCGAGCAGGAATTAAGGCCAAAGTTTTATTGATGACACATTAACATGTATATTCATCACATTTCATCTTAACCCAATATTACATTAGAAGCCCTGGCTGCCTTGTTATGTTTGTTTTCTCCATTGTCATATTCATGCTTTTGATTAAAAGCATGTATACCATGTGATAGGCAAATCAAAAGAAATGAGAATCAAACTGTTTCTTTTTAATCACAGAATTTTCACATTTTTTTTTCATCAGGTGAAAAACTTGTAGAAAGCTTTTTGTGCACCATTTCTTTCATTGGGGAGGGGTGGGGGCTTAATTTCGGAACTTACTCATTATGTTTCTGATTTTAAATGCAATAATTATTAAGAAATCACACATGATACTTTCTTCTGCATTTAAAAAAAATATAGAGTAAGAATGTGACACAACACAATTGGAAGTTCACGTTGCCATTTTGGGACTACAGAATTCGTACAAGTATTTTTCAGCAAGACTGAAAGTTACAAATTTTTTTTTTTTTATAATAGTCGGAATATACAGGTGTGCAGGTCACATGTTTCTGCTATACGAGTTATGTACGCACAAACTGAGATTATGTTACTATTGTTTATATTTAAACAAGAATTTTATAACCAAGGGTCTTACTGCAACATGAAGCTTCCATTGGTAATGATGTCCAAGATATTATAAAGTCTCCAAAGTGAAGACGCTTTTTAAATGTTTTTTTTTTTTAAATTTTTTTTTTATAATGTACATACATGCAAGTTAAAATAGTACAAAGGGAAGTAACCTGACAAATTCTTGACAAAGTTCATCTTGGCTGATTTTATACACCCAGTGCTAGAAAAGTCTTATTTTATAAAGAAGAATCAATGGTTGAAATATTTGTATTCAGAGAACTTGTACTCTGAGCAGCCTAGCAGGTGCTTTTAAGCTCTTTTTTTTTTTTATCACATTGTACATTATGTCTATTCATCCATGACAATGTTGGATCAGATTTATTTTTGTACACTTTTATCATGTTGTTACCCTGGCTTGTTTTGTTGACACACCACAATGGCTGCCAACTTTTATAGATTGTTATAGTTACATGCTGTACAGTGCACACACACAATGAAAGGATAGTTCTAATATTAAAATTTATACAATTTTAACTTGTGTTTTTTTGATACCACCCTGATTTTCAAGTTTTGGTGGTGTATACTAAATTAACTTTGCCTTTCTGTGTGTCAGTTTGTAAATGCAAGGTTATGTTCAGCTTTTGGTTAGAAACCAGCTCATTACAACGGGTGTCCAAACCAAACTTCCATATACAGTATACATTAACCCAGATGTTTGTGTTTTTGAGCAAATTGTCTTGGTAAATGAAGCATTCAGATTACTAAAACGTATCTATACAATATGTATTGATATGTACTGATAGACCAGTTTTCGTCCAGAAGGTGGAGTACATATATATGTATATGGATTACTGGCAGTTGGATTTCGAAGGCTTGACTGTGTAGTCCCATCTACTTTTTCTTCAAGCATTTAACCCCGATATCTCAAATCCTCGGATATCTTGAAGTATTTTGAAATTCAGGGTTCCATCAAGTTTGAGATAATGAGTTTTTACTGTATATTGGTATGTATAAGTTATATATATATATGTTACATACATGTAGGTCTATCTCAAACTTGGCGCAACATCAAACACCATTCAGAATTCAGAATTCTTGCATAGTTCCATGTATATTTATATATATTTCAAAAATGAGTGCATCTACGTCCCACAGTGGGATTCGAACCTGCGACGTAAGGATTAACTCCTTACTTTCGCGACTCTAGAGCAGACGCTCTAACCACTGCGCCACGCGGGCGACTTAATGTGATGTAAACTAATGCATATTAAAGTTTTATTTCTACAGTTAGGCTATTATGACGTCATTTGCAAACGTCACCTTATGCAGAACAGGATCCAGTTGACATTATACAATTATTGACTTTTGATGAGGTCTACTTGTGACTGATGCAGACCTGGTCAGTATTGGTTGACTGAGGCCGTAGGCCGAGGTTAACCAATACCTGATCAGGTCCGCATAGTCACAAGTAGACCAAATTCAAAACCAATAACCGTTTTATTAAATGATCAGGAATTTTAACAACATTTTTGACACTTTAGTTCTTGTCAACAAATATAAACACTCATTATATAATAACAAATTATAATTATATTTTAACAGCTTAACAAATGTTTAAAAGTGGACAACAATATTATTAAACAATAAATACTCAACTATTTACTAAGAAAGTAGTGTAGTTTCTTCAGTGGCGTCTGTCATGTTTACATTCACAACGACACATGCTTCAAAACGTGCAATTTGATTGGTAAAAAAAAATGTAAGCAACTCTATGGTTGGTCAAGAGGGAAAACCTGAATAAACCTCCCAGAACTTCATTTGAGGTGAACTCACTCTAAGGTTCACCTCGGGAAAAGGCGTCTAGACCAATCAGAGAGCATCAAAATTCCTGATCATTTAATAAAATGTCATGTGTCTGTATACAGTTTTGGAGATTAGCACATTTTTTCTTTGTTTTTAACTCAAAAATAGCATAAGTACCTATGTCTGACCACTGACATGTGGAATGTGACCTAATTTTGCCATTATGCATGAGCTAATGTGAAGTAATTTGATATGCAGTAAATTAATTTGAATTAAACTAATTCAAAATAAATTCTCTGTGTGAACTCGTTTCAAATTAAATTTGCAGTAACTTAAATTTAATTTGAATTAAACTCTCCGTGTGAACAGGGCATTAGATGATGGGCGTAACATTTGTTTTGACATTTTCTTTACTAGTAATGTGACTCTTCACTCAATTTGCATCCATATTTCAATCAATTTTAATAGCTAACCTTTCAAATTGTTGGTAAATGAAATCAAATTTAGACAGTATGCTTTTTTAGCTCACTTGAGCTGAAAGCTCAAGTGAGCTTTTCTGATCACCCGTTGTCCATCGTCTGTCTGTAAACTTTTCACATTTTCAACTTCTTCTCAAGAACCACTAGGCCAATTTTGACCAAAGTTGGTACAAAGCATCCTTGGGAAAAGTACCCCCCCTTCCAAGGGGAGATAATGAAGAAAAGATAAAAATAGGGTGGGGTCATTAAAAAATCTTGCCAAGAACCACTGGGCCAGAAAAGCTGAAACTAATGTGGAAGCTTCCTGAGGTTGTGTAGATTCTAAATTTTTCAAATCATGACCCCTGGGGCTAGGGTATGGTCACAATAGGAAATCAAAGTTTTACATTGGAATATATAGGAAAAATCTTCTCAAGAATCACTAAGCAAGAAAAGCTGAAAATTATATGGAAACTTCCTGAGGTAGTGTAGATTCTAAATTGTTCAAATCATGGCCCTCGGGGGCAGGGCGGGGCCACAACAGGGAATTAAAATTTTACATTGAAATATATAGGATAAATCTTCAAAAATCTTCTTCTCAAGAACCACTGGGCCAGACAAGCTGAAACTTATGTGGGAAGTTCCTGAGGTATTGAAGATTCTAAATTGTTCAAATCATGGCCCCTGGGGATAGGGTGGGGCCACAATAAGTATTACAAGGAGGAAAATCTGGTGAAGAACAGCAGGGCCAAAGTTACTCAGATGAGTGTTATGGCCCATGGGCCTCTTGTCTAACTTTCCTTCCCCCCCCCCCCCCCCCCCCAAAAAAAAAAAAGAAAAAGAAATTACACAATCTTCATTTATTCACAATTTCCAGTGTTTATAGTAATGTAAAGCAAAATACAACCCTGCTCGGTTACAATGCCAGCAAATGATTAAGCTAAGTAATCATGCTATATAGCAGTGACAATAAGCACTGCAGGTCTCTCTCTAGTCCTTACTCATGGATGAAGGCTAAAACATGATAATCCTCAGAAAACAAATGCGTGTGGATGTAACGGTTGTTCACCAACCACTAAGAATTACACCAACACGTAAGATGAGTGTGGCACATGAATGTTTTTCTGTGGTAAATCATGTGACTGGATCTGCTAAATCTGATTGGTCAAAATACAGAGATACGAGGCAGATGAAGAGATTTAATGGAACTAAACGGGGGTCCTCAGGGCTTTCCTGAAAATGCAAATTAAAAATCAAATTTTATAAATAAGATCACTAGTCAACTTAAATTATAATAATTATATGCTGATTATTCATGCTTATTTAAAAATCAAAATTTAAAGAAAAAATATGTAGTAGGTTTCTTGTTACCAAGTTAGCCCATGATGTATTTAGAGGATTGTTTCACTATATACATGTACTATTCTTATCAAAACTTCTAAGTAAACCCAGCACTCCATTTAGCAGCACTGGTAATCTAGCACAGGAAAATTTAATGAGGATGCTTTTGGTAGTAATTGGTCATTTAACACCCAACATGTTGAAATTGCTTTTAAATCTAATGAACTGTGATAAATGTGTTGTTTTTTTAAGGCATTTTCAGTAATCATAAAATTCAAGCAATAGAAAAACATCCATGACTACAGTACCGACCAGACACAACCTAACAGAAAGCGAACCCAAAGCGCACCCCGGGTTTGCTCTCTGGGTTCGCTTGGGGTTCGCTATAGCTGACCCCGAGCGAACCTGCAGTGGACCCAGAGCGAATGCCGAAAGCGAACCCCAAATTCAGTAGCAAACCCAGAAACCAACGCGTGTTCGGTGTTGCATAACAGAGCTGTCAATCAGGATTTGCGATAAGATGTGTTCACCAATCAGCGCGTCAACCTATCAGCATGCCAGTTTGTCATTAGATGTAAATAAAACATTGTACAAGCAAAGCGTGTTAAATGTACAGTGTGAAACTATTATTAACATGATTAAAAAATTATATTTATATTTTATTATTTATCCAGGTAGCATGTTATGTTTATACATTAATTTTCTTTATTTTACATTTTTCAAATCCATTAATATTTATCAGACCAAACATACTTTAATTTATAATTAAAGAAAAAAAAAGAAAATAATGGGTTTTTTTTTTAAAAATTGTTACTAAAAAAAGATACTGTACAAGATTATGTATATGTGCGTGCTTTCATTCAATTATTCTATTTTTATAATTCTAATTTACATTTTCGTTTAAATCCAGATCAACATCAAAATTATTGATCTTCTTAATTGAAATAAAAAAAATAAATGTACAGCATAAATGTACAGGTATGTCCAATCGTAAACTACTATGGTATTTTTTTTTATTTATCTTTTACAAAAAAATAATGCCAAGCTGATTTAGCTTGTTTGTTTGCTTGTTTGTTTTTTTAAAACTGAAATAAAAGAAAAAATATGAAGCGAGATTTACATAATTGAACGAACTAATTATCGGTAGTAAATAAGCAATATAGTAAGTCATACAGTATTGTATTCTCTTAAAATAGGGTAGCATTATTTAGTCCGCAAATGTACAAGACATGATTGTCGGGATTACTTTTTATCCCTGATACTTATCATTATTATTTTATAATTTCTGCAAATGAATGAATGTAAAAAAAAAATGCTGATTTTTGAAATTAATAAATGGAAAGATGGATATAGTTTTAATTCATTCTAAGGCCATTTTTAAAATCTTTTACCCCTTACTGCATATCATAAAATCCAATTGAATCAAAACTCACGGCCAACCTATATCATGTGATAGAACATGCAGCATTTTATCATAAATTACATCTTTACGTATCAAAAAGATAAAAAAAAATACCCACGTCAGAGAATTAAATGAATAATTATTTGTAATCTAAAATAACTATAACACGACTGTCTTATTTACATGTAGTTTCAAAAATATCCATTTCTAAATATATTTTTTTTCAGTTTTCCAAAGTTGATGAATTGCAGCAATAATTATTTTTAATCTAAAACATCTATTAATTAAGCCTTAATATTTCGTTTTAAAAATATCCAATCCTAAATATTTTAAACTATATTTTTGTAAAAAATCGTACATTTGGGTTAACAATCGTGAATAATCATGTAACATGAAGAATCGTGTCCGTGAAGGATGGTTCGTGTAACAGGTTTATCATGCGTAAATCGTGCGGAATCGTTTGTGTAAACGTGATCGTTCATGTATGTTGTCAACAATAACGTTGCAGCCTCTGTACATGCACATGCATCACTCACCACAAAAACAACAATGATCGATTTCATTACATAATTTAGAATATACAAGGGTGGGGCTTACTGGCGGCAAGATTAAAGCGGGGTCCGCTTCATGCACGAGTTGGTAAAGCGAACGCCAGGTTCGCTCTAGCAGATCCAGAGCTGACACCGAGCGAATGCAGAGCGAACCCAAAATTTCTGAAAGCGGACCCGTAGCGGACCCCGAGCGAACCCGTGGTGTGCTTCGGGTTCACTCTGGTGTTAGATTGTGTCTGGTCGGTACTGTACCTTGATACATAATTATGTATCCTATCATTAGAATGAGGGGTTAGAATCTTGAGAGTTGATTAGTTTATACAGTTGAACTTTGATATCTCGAACACTGATATCTCCAATACCATGGATATGTTGAAGTGATTTGGATGTCCCAACCGCTTATTTTACCCATATGATATCTCGAATCATCAGATGTCTCGAAGTTTTTTCTTGATCCCATTAAGTTCGAGATAACAAGGTTTGACTGTATATGTAAATTAATATGTTTCCTACAATTACTTTACAAACATTAATCTTCAAATCTTATGTTTTGTCATGGGGGAGGGATATTATATTCTTGAGAAAACAAGTGTTTGACTATGAATAATACATATAATGTACTAACAGTATATCACATCTGGAGATTTTACCAGGTTGTCTCCAGATAGAATAAAGTAATGATAAGATGAAATAAAATATGATTACTTAATTAAAAAGCTGAATTGTACATGCTTTCTGGAATATAGTAAAATTGGTTTAGTATGAATGTGGATATATAGCAAATTTATGGATATAGTGAAGATTTTTAAGATCCCTGGCAAAATTTTTGCAAATCCTTGTGTAGTGGTTTGTGCCGTGGAAATCGGCCTGGGTAGCTCAGCAGTAGAGCACCTGACTAGTGGTGCAGGGGTTCCATGTTCAATTCCCTCTCCAGCCATATATTTTCTCCTTTTCTGTTACATAATTTGGTGCCCTTGACCACCCCTGGACGTACAGGTGAAAGTCTTGCCAGGGGCAATATGAACTTGGGTGGTGTCTTTGTAGGCGAAGAGAATTTAAGGAGGGAGGAATGCATTAGTTTGGGCGGTGGATATTGGCCTGGGTAGCTCAACAGTAGAGCACCTGACCAGTGGTGCAGGGGTCACGGGTTCGATTCCCAATCCAGCCATACATTTTCTCCCTTCCTGTTACACTAGTCTTGTAAAATTTTACAGTTAAAATAAACTCTGATATAACAAATTTATGGATATAACATATGATTTTGTGACCCACAGAGGGTAAAAATAATGAAATATATATCGTTTATAATGAATTTTTAAAGATATCAAAATTTAAAAATATTGAACTGACATTATATTTTATAAGTATTCATATTTAAATTCAATTCATCAGAAAACATTAATAATCCAAGGTAAGTCTTGTGTTTAATACTCCTCTTAACATATTTGGAGGTCATACTTGCTGGAAAATAGTATGTTGCGAATTCCCTATAATTGCTTTAAGGAATTTGCTCTATGAATATAACAGATTTCAGATGTAGCAAAGTAAAGTAAATTTACAGGTCCCATGGGCTTCCCTATTTCCAAGTTTTACTGTGGGTTTTTTTTTCTTTCTAAATCACACCAAATATACATGTATAGGTGACAGTGACTTAAAAAAATATATATACAAAACAAATGCATTACAATGTACACATGTACATTGTAACCTATATATACATACTAAAGTCGCTCTCAGATTTCCACAGCTACGAGCCAAGGATCGAATCAAAGCACAAGCTTCTGGAGAGAGGGGTTTCTGTAGACTGGCCAACAATGCATAAAACCACGAACCCTGAACAAAAAATACAATGTATTATATAACATCATTCTGCAGACTGGTCAACAATGCATAAAACCACGAACCCTGAACAAAAAATACAATGTATTATATAACATCATTCTGTAGACTGGCCAACAATGCATAAAACCACGAACCCTGAACAAAAAATACAATGTATTATATAACATCATTCTGCAGACTGGCCAACAATGCATAAAACCACAAACCCTGAACAAAAAATACAAAGTATTAAATAATATCTGTAGACATGTTAGACTAGCTTATTTGGTGTATATACAGTGTTTGTTGTTTTACGATCCTTGCAGAACTTTTCACTAATATGAGACATCACCAGATGCTGGTGAAGGGCTCCAAATTTCAACATTTCTGAGCACTTAGCAAAGGAACAGTAACTGTTTCAACCTTTTTTTTTTTTTATTGACTAAGGTTTGTCGCAGCCAGGGCTTAAACCCATGACCTTTTGACTATAGAGCTTTTCACTGACTGAGCTACCATACCAGTGATATATTCAGTGCAGGATTGTCCTTAAGATTGAAATAGCAGGGGAAATTTAAAAAGTAGAAGAGGGTTTGGGGGTCGTCCCCTAACAGAGGGTTGAGGGGGAATACCAGAATAACCGGGGGATTATGTCATCATAGGCAGGGAAATTCCCCGGGTCTTAGGGACAACCATGTCAGAGTATGAGTGGTTTAAGATATTGTATATGATCTGGTTCCAAGAACATACACTGAGAAAAGACTTAAGTCAAAATTTAGATTTTGAATATTTCAATCTTTGCTTAACAAATATATTTAGAAACTTCCAGTTTTGATATTCCAGTACAAATGCATATTATAATTCTTTTATTTTTCAAAAATTATTTCAAAATTTATACTAATTTCAAATTTTGACGTATGTCTTTTTTCAGTTCTATGGCCCCGCTCCCAGATTTAAGACATAAATTTATCAAAATCCAGAACTGATTACCTACCTGTTTATCTGAAAACCCAGTAGCTTCAAACCAGTTAATGTGATATTCTAAAACCTTGATCACAGTCGGCTGAAAAAAAGTTAATTAGCTGAAACATAAAAAACCTTTAATTATGCTCGTATACTTACACTAAACATTTCTCCCCCATCTCGATACACTATCTATAAACTGTTTAACACCTATGGATATGTCAGAGTTAAAACTCCCATTTACCATTTTTTCTTTATGTATTTTAACTTCTCCATCTTAAATCATCAGATATGTTGAAGTTTTTACTCCATCCATTTGGGTTTGAGATAATGAGATTTATTGACTGTATATTATTCCACCACAAATCAAGATAGATCACAATTTCTACTAAGGAAAGTTAAAAATCTGGAATCATGAAGAAATCATGAATAACAGATATAATTCAATACCCCTATCACTTGGTGGGCTGGACTATCTATATTCATGTACCTGATCTAACGCTGCAACAATGCTCATCAGAGGTAAAACTCCTTCATGTTTAGGTTTGACCTCTTCCTCCATGATGACCTCCGATTTGACCTCTCTCTGAGAGACACCTGGTGGCTGAAGTCTTCCAAAACATAGACGACACCAGCCTTCCACGTCGTTACATTGAGGCTGTCCAATAGAATCTTCAGTCAGATTTCAGAATATCATATCTTGTTTTATGTATTTTTAATTTGTGACAAGGTATTCAGATACACCTTATGAATGAAATCACAGATAATTTTAGGTATCTCTATTTTGGTTTGAAATACAATTAGGCTATCTAAATTTGAAGGTTTATTTAAAGTGAAAATGATTTCTTAGAATATATATTGAATTTCATTATTTTTCAACCCGACCATCTCTCTATAGTAATTAATTCCTATGACAATACTTAGAAGCATTAGTACCGTAAATCTTTATTTTGTCAACACGTACCAGTTTGTCTCTTTTTAGTAACCCTTTCTTTGCCATCAGAACTTTCTGTCTTTGAAGTTTCTATAATATTCAAAGTTTCAGGCTATAGTAATCAAACCCTTAAATCAGTTTCTCCAAAGCAAAATTTTTAAACTATAATAATTTTGTAAAATTCCCATAAAGCTAAGACAGATGCCATATATACTTGCCTATAAGTTGGCCCACCTATAAGTTGGTTGTATTTTTTAAGTAACCTTATATTAGAGGGATTGACCCTCTAAAATACTAATCTTTTTATAACTGGCCTATAAGTCGGACAAAGAGTTTTGGACCAAAGTTTAACTCCCAAAAAAACGACTTATAGGTGAGTATATATAGTAACAGAATTATTCAACTGAAACTTCTAGCAATCCATTCTTGCATATGTTTTAAATGAGCAGTAAAAATAAGAAAATAAAACTTTTAAACATTACATCATTTGAGCATACAGTAAACTAATTAAACCTACTACATGTAACTCAAACAGTAGACTTAAAATGATGTTTTAACTTCGTATACAGTTATTCTGCTTTAAAACTTTTACTCCTGCAGCAAGAAATACCTAATTGTATTGATATGCCATGGATGTACATCAACATTAGACCTTAGAGCCAACTACATTACATCTAAGTGGAAGCAATCTAACTGATACAAAAGAAATGTCCTGAGGAATCTGATGATGTTTGAATACCTGACGAAGTTCAGCAAAGTTGGCTGTTTGCATCTTCTGCCATTGTAGATCAGGGGTATAACCCTTTGGTGCAGGAAATCGACCACCATACTGAAAAACAATTACACGTCACTACATAAACTGATAAACGAGGGAAACAAAATATAACAGAATACTGTAAACATACATCTTTCGATGGGGTTGTAATTTTACAGATTCACAATGTCGGTGAAATCAGTGTGTAGAAACTGATATTGTATCTTTAGTGGTTAGAAAGCAAGGTAATCTCCATTTTAGTTGACCTGTGACAAATTTAATCCCATACAGAAATAAAATGTGTTTGTGAAACACTAATGCCCCCTTATGGCATCTCAAGGCCAAGGTTAAAGATTTTTAAATGTAGATCAAACTCCTATGTCAAGGTCAAGATTTCAAAAATGTTGGTACCCAAAGAAATGTCGTTTTGAAAGGAATACACATGAATGTGAAATATGAAAGCCCTAGCACCAACCAATCAGATAATATGGTGAAGATTTAAGTTTTTCAAAAGTAGGTCATGCTCCAAGGTCAAGGTCATGATGTCAAAAATATTGGTACCAAAGGAGAGATCTTGACACAAGGAATACAACCGATCAAAATTTATAGGCAAAATTAAAGTTTTTACAAATGTAAGTCAAACTCCAAGGTCAAGATCAGGAGGTAAAGAATGTTGCAGTGATTGGGAAGGGCTTGCACCGCATGCCATAGTCGCATTAAAGTGAAAATTGGCGCATTAAATCAACCATTGGTGGCGCCAAAGTGCACATTCAATTTTTAGCGATGTTAGTTGGAAATACATTGCGTACGACCTTCTTGCTTGTTTTACTTTCGTTTTAATTGCAGTCATTTTAATACAACAAATCTCATTGGTTAAAACCCAGCAAAAACTGCTTCCTGTTACATGAAGCGCTTTATTTAGGAGAACAAAGGTACAATACCTCACTCATTTCCAATGTTTATTTGAAATGTTGACGTTATTGATCCAAATTACCAGAAAATTATATTGCTTGCGAGTTCCTTTAAATGTGCTGCACTGCATACGTGAAAAATAAGATTTGGTTAATAAAGAAACGTGTTTTCATTTGATTTCACATTTGTTTGTCATTTTATTTTTTTTAAATGGCCCTTCAGAATATATAGATGGCCCATTCATTTTCAAAATGGCCCATTAAAAACTTTGACAGTTGTGCCATCGTCCCATTGACCTTAATGGCCTTCCCAATCACTGATGTTGGTAACGATTATTGTATATTTAATGAAATATTAAAGCCCTGGCACCAATTGTTCAAAAGTTATGGCCAAGTTTAAAGTTGGTAAAATTTTGAAAAAAAAGTTCAACTCCAAGGTCAAGGGGCCAAAAATGTTGATACCCAAAGAAAGATCATGTCACAAGGAATACACATCTAAAACATGAAAGCCCTAACAAATTCAAAAGTTATGGGCAAGGTTAACGTTTTTGCAAACAAAAATACAAAGATAGATGGAAGGACAGACAAAAAACTGTATGTCCTCAAATCTTTAGTTACAGGAGCATAAAAATTTGTTTAAATTAGTCTACCTTATAACATAATTCATGTGATTACCATCACAAACATTCCAAAATCTACTAATTCAAAGAATGATTTAATGAAATTACACATACTTCTACCTGGTAAATGAAACTGTGTCTTCCCAGCTTGTCTTTATGAGAACACAATAACTTGTAGAAGACATTGATTTGATATATTCTAATTGTTACCTCTCTGATCCTCACAGTATGTCTGTGGAGGAATGGAGACATGTCTATATCAGACACTACAGTCTGTAGACAATCCTTGATCTTACCTCTCTGATCTTCACAGTCTGTCTGTGTAGGAATGGATATGTGTCTATATCAGCCACAACAATATGTGGACAATCCTTGATCTTACCTCTCTGATCTTCACAGTCTGTCTGTGGAGGAATGGAGACATTTCTATATCAGCCACAACAATATGTGGACAATCCTTGATCTTACCTCTCTGATCTTCACAGTCTGTCTGTGGAGGAATGGAGACATGTCTATATCAGCCATCACAATCTGTGGACAATCCTTGATCTTACCTCTCTGATCTTCACAGTCTGTCTGTGGAGGAATGGACACATGTCTATATCAGCCACTACAATATGTGGACAATCCTTGATCTTACCTCTCTGATCTTCACAGTCTGTCTGTGGAGGAATGGAGACATGTCTATATCAGCCACTACAGTCTGTGGACAATCCTTGATCTTACCTCTCTGATCTTCACAGTCTGTCTGTGGAGGAATGGAGACATGTCTATATCAGCCACTACAGTCTGTGGACAATCCTTGATCTTACCTCTCTGATCTTCACAGTCTGTCTGTGGAGGAATGGAGACATGTCTATATCAGCCACTACAATATGTGGACAATCCTTGATCTTACCTCTCTGATCTTCACAGTCTGTCTGTGGAGGAATGGAGACATGTCTATATCAGCCACTACAGTCTGTGGACAATCCTTGATCTTACCTCTCTGATCTTCACAGTCTGTCTGTGGAGGAATGGAGACATGTCTATATCAGCCATCACAATCTGTGGACATGCAATCCTTGATCTTACCTCTCTGATCTTCACAGTCTGTCTGTGGAGGAATGGAGACATGTCTATATCAGCCACTACAATATGTGGACAATCCTTGATCTTACCTCTCTGATCTTCACGGTCTGTCTGTAGGGGAATGGAAATTGTGTCTATATTAGCCATCACAATCTGTGGACATGCAATCCTTGATCTTACCTCTCTGATCTTCACAGTTTGTCTGTGGAGGAATGGAGACATTTCTATATCAGCCACTACAGTCTATGGACAATCCTTGATCTTACCTCTCTGATCTTCAAAGTCTGTCTGTGGAGGAATGGAGACATGTCTATATCAGCCACTATAGTCTGTGGACAATCCTTGATCTTACCTCTCTGATCTTCAAAGTCTGTCTGTGGAGGAATGGAGACATGTCTATATCAGACACTACAATATGTGGACAATCCTTGATCTTACCTCTCTGATCTTCAAAGTCTGTCTGTGGAGGAATGGAGACATGTCTATATCAGCCATCACAATCTGTGGACATGCAATCCTTGATCTTACCTCTCTGATCTTCACAGTCTGTCTGTGGAGGAATGGAGACATGTCTATATCAGCCACTACAATATGTGGACAATCCTTGATCTTACCTCTCTGATCTTCACAGTCTGTCTGTGGAGGAATGGAGACATGTCTATATCAGCCATCACAATCTGTGGACATGCAATCCTTGATCTTACCTCTCTGATCTTCACAGTCTGTCTGTGGAGGAATGGAGACATGTCTATATCAGCCATCACAATCTGTGGACATGCAATCCTTGATCTTACCTCTCTGATCTTCACAGTCTGTCTGTGGAGGAATGAAGACATGTCTATATCAGCCACTACAATATGTGGACAATCCTTGATCTTACCTCTCTGATCTTCAAAGTCTGTCTGTGGAGGAATGGAGACATGTCTATATCAGCCATCACAATCTGTGGACATGCAATCCTTGATCTTACCTCTCTGATCTTCACAGTCTGTCTGTGGAGGAATGGAGACATGTCTATATCAGCCACTACAATATGTGGACAATCCTTGATCTTACCTCTCTGATCTTCAAAGTCTGTCTGTGGAGGAATGGAGACATGTCTATATCAGCCACTACAGTCTGTGGACAATCCTTGATCTTACCTCTCTGATCTTCACAGTCTGTCTGTGGAGGAATGGAGACATTTCTATATCAGCCACTACAATATGTGGACAATCCTTGATCTTACCTCTCTGATCTTCAAAGTCTGTCTGTGGAGGAATGGAGACATGTCTATATCAGCCACTACAATATGTGGACAATCCTTGATCTTACCTCTCTGATCTTCAAAGTCTGTCTGTGGAGGAATGGAGACATGTCTATATCAGCCATCACAATCTGTGGTCATGCAATCCTTGATCTTACCTCTCTGATCTTCACAGTCTGTCTGTGGAGGAATGGAGACATGTCTATATCAGCCACTACAATATGTGGACAATCCTTGATCTTACCTCTCTGATCTTCACGGTCTGTCTGTAGGGGAATGGAAATTGTGTCTATATTAGCCATCACAATCTGTGGACATGCAATCCTTGATCTTACCTCTCTGATCTTCACAGTTTGTCTGTGGAGGAATGGAGACATGTCTATATCAGCCACTACAATCTGTGGACAATCCTTGATCTTACCTCTCTGATCTTCACAGTTTGTCTGTGGAGGAATGGAGACATGTCTATATCAGCCACTACAGTCTGTGGACAATCCTTGATCTTACCTCTCTGATCTTCACAGTCTGTCTGTGGAGGAATGGAGACATGTCTATATCAGCCATCACAATCTGTGGACATGCAATCCTTGATCTTACCTCTCTGATCTTCACAGTCTGTCTGTGGAGGAATGGAGACATGTCTATATCAGCCACTACAATATGTGGACAATCCTTGATCTTACCTCTCTGATCTTCACGGTCTGTCTGTAGGGGAATGGAAATTGTGTCTATATTAGCCATCACAATCTGTGGACATGCAATCCTTGATCTTACCTCTCTGATCTTCACAGTTTGTCTGTGGAGGAATGGAGACATTTCTATATCAGCCACTACAGTCTATGGACAATCCTTGATCTTACCTCTCTGATCTTCAAAGTCTGTCTGTGGAGGAATGGAGACATGTCTATATCAGCCACTACAGTCTGTGGACAATCCTTGATCTTACCTCTCTGATCTTCAAAGTCTGTCTGTGGAGGAATGGAGACATGTCTATATCAGACACTACAATATGTGGACAATCCTTGATCTTACCTCTCTGATCTTCAAAGTCTGTCTGTGGAGGAATGGAGACATGTCTATATCAGCCATCACAATCTGTGGACATGCAATCCTTGATCTTACCTCTCTGATCTTCACAGTCTGTCTGTGGAGGAATGGAGACATGTCTATATCAGCCACTACAATATGTGGACAATCCTTGATCTTACCTCTCTGATCTTCACAGTCTGTCTGTGGAGGAATGGAGACATGTCTATATCAGCCATCACAATCTGTGGACATGCAATCCTTGATCTTACCTCTCTGATCTTCACAGTCTGTCTGTGGAGGAATGGAGACATGTCTATATCAGCCATCACAATCTGTGGACATGCAATCCTTGATCTTACCTCTCTGATCTTCACAGTCTGTCTGTGGAGGAATGAAGACATGTCTATATCAGCCACTACAATATGTGGACAATCCTTGATCTTACCTCTCTGATCTTCAAAGTCTGTCTGTGGAGGAATGGAGACATGTCTATATCAGCCATCACAATCTGTGGACATGCAATCCTTGATCTTACCTCTCTGATCTTCACAGTCTGTCTGTGGAGGAATGGAGACATGTCTATATCAGCCACTACAATATGTGGACAATCCTTGATCTTACCTCTCTGATCTTCAAAGTCTGTCTGTGAAGGAATGGAGACATGTCTATATCAGCCACTACAGTCTGTGGACAATCCTTGATCTTACCTCTCTGATCTTCACAGTCTGTCTGTGGAGGAATGGAGACATTTCTATATCAGCCACTACAATATGTGGACAATCCTTGATCTTACCTCTCTGATCTTCAAAGTCTGTCTGTGGAGGAATGGAGACATGTCTATATCAGCCACTACAATATGTGGACAATCCTTGATCTTACCTCTCTGATCTTCAAAGTCTGTCTGTGGAGGAATGGAGACATGTCTATATCAGCCATCACAATCTGTGGTCATGCAATCCTTGATCTTACCTCTCTGATCTTCACAGTCTGTCTGTGGAGGAATGGAGACATGTCTATATCAGCCACTACAATATGTGGACAATCCTTGATCTTACCTCTCTGATCTTCACGGTCTGTCTGTAGGGGAATGGAAATTGTGTCTATATTAGCCATCACAATCTGTGGACATGCAATCCTTGATCTTACCTCTCTGATCTTCACAGTTTGTCTGTGGAGGAATGGAGACATGTCTATATCAGCCACTACAATCTGTGGACAATCTTTGGCTTCCTCTCTGTAACAGAGCCATACATTATGAAAAACACGTAAAAAAGACTGTAATTCTTAGTACATATACCTATCTGCTAGACTATTTCATATATTAAATGTATTAAGCTGGTGAAAAGCAAAGCAAACACTACAAAGCTATAGATTTTCAGACACGTCTCTATTAAACTTAATCAGGGACAAATAAACTAACAGTGATTTCTACAATAAACAAAACATTGTAAAATTAACACTCTAAGCAGGTCTGGTACAATTGTTAGATTTAGCTACGTAGCTTGAATTACCTACATAGCTTTATTAACCTACTTGAAGTAGCTTTCTTTAGCATGTTTGGCTACTAAATCATGTTTATTTCTTAAATTAGTACTTTTTTCAGGATTACAAAAAATCAAACTTTCATCATGTTGATCATGTTCATGCAGTGATAATTTTTCAACTTTGAACTGATCTGAATACAATTCATGGAAAAACTTAAATTTACATAATGTATTCCTATGTAAAACTCTGATCGCTTGCTTATTGTGGCCACACCCTACCCTAATTAAATTTGAACAAATCTGAATCTACACTACTTGAGGATGCTTCTATGATAATATGACTAATCATGGTTTTGCTGTTCTTGAGCAGATTGAAGATTTTTTCAAGATGATTCCTATACATTCTTATGCAAACTTTGACCCTCTGTTATGCACCCAGCCCCTGGGAGGTCATAATTGGAACAAACTTGATTCTACAGTACTTAAGGTTGCTTCTGTATAAATATGAGTAATAATGGCTTAATTAGTTGTTCTTGAGAAGAAGATTTTAAAAGATATTTCCTATGTAACATGTATGTTCAGGTTCCTACAAGGGATATATAGGTTTTCCTTTTATTCTGTCTGAGTTAATGATTGGAATTCTTCAGATTTATCATGTTTACTACACCCAGAACTTAACATCAGTTCCCTAGGATACATGCCACTGGTTTTTATAACTTTTATACTTTTATTTTGCTCTTACCCACAACTTCTTATTTCTAATTCAACATCCAAACTTCTTCAGCTAGCTTCTGAATGCCTGAATTTCCCAAAGTTTTCCATTATATACCCTTTGGTTTGGCTAGTCCAATCCAAGGGTTGTCAGGTCATTCCACTATTTGAAGTCTTCAATGCATTTTACTCAAATGCCCCTTAACCATTAGACCTATATATTCCTACATGTATGTAAAACTTTGACCCACTGTTTTGGCCCACGTCCTACACCCAGGGGTCATGATTTGAACAAACTTTTATCTACACTACCTGAGGATATTTCTGTATTAATATGACTAATAATGGTTTAACTATTCTTGAGAAGAAGATTTTTAAAGATATTTCCTATATATTCCTATGGTAAACTTTGACCCCTGTTGTGGCCCTACCCTACCCCCAGGGGTCATGACTGGAGCAAACTTGAATCTACACTACCTGAGGATACTTATATTATAATATGACTAATCATGGCTTTGCTGTTCTCGAGAAGAAGATTTTTAAAGAACAATTCTATATATTCCTATGTAAAACTTCGATCCCCTGTTGTGGCCTTGCCCTACCCCCAGGGGTTATGATATGAACAAACTTTAATCTCGAGTACGTAATGAAGCTTTCACATAAGTTTCATCTTTTCTTGCCCAGTTGTTCTTGAGAAGAAGATTTTTTAAAATATGCCACCAAATTTTCATGAATTCTTAATTATCTCCCCTCGAAAGAGGGTGTGGCACTTCCTGTGAAAAAAACTTAAATCCCCATCACCCAAGGATGCTTTTTGGCAAGTTTGGTCGAAATTGGCCTAGTGGTTCTTGAGAAGAAGTCGAAAATGCAAAAAGTTTACATACGACGGAAGAAAGACGACAGATGGACGCCATACACTCTTTGATCAGATTTTTTTTTAAATCAAGGTGACAAATTAATTAAGAAAATAATTCTTACTGGCAGTATTGAATTCAATGTCATGTATCCATTTCACTATTATGCAAAGGTTGGAAGCCATAAATTAGTCAATATCCACAAAAATAATTTAATAAGACTAGTGTAATTATTATATGATTGAGTAATTTCCATCTCTCTGATTGGCTGAGATCCAACAATGTTAGAAAAATACTATGTTAATATATTGAATTCACGTGACCTTCCAGGTCAATATAAGGAATTATTAGTCCCCTACCGGTGAAACCGGAGGAGACTATAGGTTTCCTTTGAGTCTGTCCGTCCGTCTGTCTGTCTGTCTGTCTGTCAGTCTGTCAGTCTGTCCCACTTGGTTTTCCGCACTTTTTTCCTAAACGCTTGCAGATATTGAGCTGATTTTTGGTATGTGAGTGTATCTTGATGAGTTACAGATCAAGTTTGCATTTCGTTCCGCTTCATTGATTTTTTTTTTTTTTTTTTGATTTTTCATTTGAAATTTTGACGGAATTATGGCCTTTTCAATTTTTAAGGGTTTTCCGCAATTTTCTTCTAAACGCTTTCAGATATTGAGCTGATTTTTGGTATGTGGCTTTACCTTGATTAGTTATAGATCAAGTTTGCATTTTGTTCCGCTCCATTGATTTTTGACAGAATTACCATGACATTTTCAATTCTTAACGGGAACCAGATTACACTTGCCGGTAGGGGACTAGTATTGCTAATGCAATACTCTCATAATGCTTGTTTATTCTACATTGGACCAAAAATAGATAGAGAAATTCCAAATTGATGCAAATAGTTTTTGAAAGTTATTTCACTTACCGGTACACCTGACTTCCACTCATATGAACATAACATTAAGGCACATAGATTCTTGGGTGAGGTGGGGGGGTTGCAAGAGGCCTGCCCCTCTCCCTACCTTTTGAGAATGTAAAGTTTTAATTTAAATTTTAAGGATAAAAAATTTCACTGAAAGCCCCCCTCCCCTCTTTTATGGACCTTTACGTCCCATCAAATAGAATTTTGAGTAGGGAGAATTCTTTTCCTTTGGAAGGGGGGGGGGGGGGGGGCTAGTCAAAGATTTGTTTCCAGGTAATATGTCATTTTTTTCCTTTTAATGCCCCCTTTCTCAAAATCAATCATATATATGTGCCTTACATTTATTTTTTCTACATTGTTCCTAAACTAGAATAAAAATTTCCAAAATAATACAGCTGGTTGTTTTCAACCCCGTTTTCTCATTATGTTCAGCTAGTACTTCAGTAGATGTGAACAAGTAAGATGGCATGGATTGCTTAAAGAGTGTGTGTCATTTAATCATTGAATTATATAATAAAACAATTACTGCTGTTTTTTCAGTCAATACAATGATTTAGCCACCTTCGAAGTACAATATTCACCGAGCTCAAAGGGCGAGGTGAATATTGTACTTCTCAGGTGTCTAAATCATCGTATTGACCTAAAAAAAAAAAACAGCAATAATTGTATATTATTTATTCAACAAAAAATAAAAATTAAGTCACAATGTACTAAATACAGTCATTATGCGGCTGTATATTTGGAGAAAGCGAACGACAATCCATTGTTTGTTTATATCACATATGCAATGTAATGCATGGTTGTGCCAAAAACTCCGTTTTCAGTGTTCACGCCGTTTGGAGAGTTCATCTAGACTGGTTATCATATTAAAACAATTAATCCACAGATTTATAACATTCTACAGGGCTCGACATTAACGCTTGTCCGCTTGTCCGGTACCAGTGAAAAAAATTACGGACAAGTGAATATTGCCAGGCACTTGTCCGATTGGACAAGTGCATTTTAATGTAAAGAAGTCTTCAAATAATAAAAAGAACGACTGTTCATCTGTTGAAAGTTCATCGGTAAGGACAGAAGGCCAAAAGCAGTACATAAAAAACGAACTTCGATCCCGATATGGATTGCTATGTAATCGAGTTCACACTCGATCGGGATCGAAGTTCACTAATTGCATACTACTGCAAAGGCATGAAAGTTACGTCGAGTTACGAAGTTTAGATTCTGTTATATGTTGACAGTTTCATTTGTGAACATTTATGTTGTTGTTAGGATAGAAAGTCTAGACGAAATTTTGTTTTTATGTATTTATCAATAACATCACGAATCAAGCACATGTAATGGACTTTATTGTAGTTTTCAAGTTGACAGTATTGTATCTTTATTGAACAATTTTTGGACAAGTGAAGTTGAAGTTCGGACAAGTAAATGTCTTGGTCACTTGTCCGAATGGACAAGTAGGAAAAAAAGTTAATGTCGAGCCCTGTTCTACATACCTCACTCTGCGCAAGTATTCATTTCCAGACGTCGGCGGTATGTTCAGGTCAAAATCGTCATTGTCCTCGATGTTGACAGCAAGTGCCTGTGGTTGTAATTCATCATCAACTAGGCTGTCGTCGCTTTCCATTATCTCACGTTCTCAGAACCGCGTTCTCGGGTTCTGTAATGATTGTACTTTCGATTTTAAATGAAGCCCAAGCCCGATCAAAAATCTGCAAAGAAATCGTGTACGCATGTGAAGGGATCATTTGTAAACACAGGCACTTGTTTCGTATACAGGGCACCCCCTACTAATTTTTATCATTAGGGAGTGCCCTGCATACGAAAAAATTGCCTATGATTTACAGGCAGACAATTTAGTCAGCTGACCACAAATTTGAAGTCTTTTATTAAATCATTGTCAAATCCAAATAAATCATTCATTAACTTTTAAGTGTTCTATAACATATTGATATTTTTTTAAAATTAGATCTTTGAGAAATTTTAAAATATCAATCATATCCTCGAGTGGCATGGTCCAATAGTATTTGATTTTAACTACAATATTATTTTTTCTACTGACATTTATTAGTCCCCTACCGGTGAAACCGGAGGGGACTATACCCAGCAGGCATTTCAACGTTGTTTCAACGTTGAAACAACGTCGTACCTCAACGTTGAAATGACGTTGAATTTTAGTTGGATTTGAAAGTTGAATGGACGTTGAAATCCGACGTTGGTTCAACGTTGATATTTTACGTTGTTTCAACGTTGAATTAACGTCTACGGACGTTATATCAACGTTGAAAAAATGTTGATATATGAGTGGTTTTGGTTGATATTTCAACACATCTTTTACTTTGTAATATATTGAAAACCTTATCAAATTTGTTTGTCGTAATCTTTAACTCTCAAATTGAATTTGCTCATCTATTAATTGAACATAGATCCATTACACACACTGGTGTGTATAATTAATTCCATGTATAACAGTAAACACATTGAAAGGAAATTTCCAATCAATTTTCTATTTATTTATTTCTTTTTACATCCATGAAAACATAATCACAATTTATTCCCATTTGTCATCACTTAATGGCAATTGCATGTCACATATGGTTCAAGTCTAGGTAAGAATTTCACAAAAGTATGAATCCGATGGAGTGATAATGTATTTTTTTAACTATTCTTGGATGGTATTGTGAGTACTCCATCGACGCGGACATGTTCTGTATACGTATTTCAAAATTCACATGATTTTAGATTGGTAAGGAAAGGACAGGACGGCTATAATTCAACATCTGCAAATAAAGAAAATACATTATTCAGCAGTAATATACATGTACAAGACTATATGTATAATTTGATCTTATATGTATGTTTAGAATATGATTTATTCAATGCGGATGTTCAACCCACTATGTGCTTAATCCTCTGCTATTCAGAGCGTATGTGTGTCGCATTTTGAATCGTGCAAAATTTATGAAGGATCAAACGCCAAATATTTCATTAAAATTATTTTCAAAACACATTTGAGAAGCAAAAGTTGCATGTCATTGTAAAAAAAATCATTTAAATAAACGGGTACTTACATTCATTGGGGATGTAACGATCCAAAATGTGGAATAGACATCAGCGTTTCACGAGTCTAGAAAACAAAATGGCGTTCTCGATCTACACAGCTGGACAGGTTCTTTGTTTCAGTTCGCGCCAGTAATTTAATACCAAAGTGGTGAGCATGTTTTGGACATTGATAAGTTCGGACATTGAGGTTTTGAGGTCAAACCACATTCAAATAGCTACCGCGCCCTTGCATCCGATTTGTTTTTACATGCATGCATGTACTGAGTAAAATAAATGCATTTATTGTCACATCTTAATCAAACACAATATATGTAGTATTTTGTTATGAACATTCGTAATTAATTGTTCTTTTTTCAAACATGATTATATTAACAACACATTCAAATAATTATTGCATAAATGACAGCAACTATTTCGTCGGATTATCATTGGTTATACAACGTCAATCTGACGTTGAAAATAAGTTGTGATTTCAACGTCTTCTTTTCAACGTCATATGACGTTGTTATTTGGTTGATCAACGTCATCAACCAAGATCAACATATTTTCAACGTTGGTACAACGTTGTATGCCTGCTGGGTAGGTTTCCTCTGAGTCTGTCCGTCCGTCTGTCAGTCTGTCCCACTTGGTTTTCCGCACTTTTCTTCTAAACGCTTGCAGATATTGAGCTGATTTTTGGTATGTGAGTGTATCTTAATGAGTTACAGATCAAGTTTGCATTTCGTTCCGCTTCAATGATTTTTGACGGAATTACGACCTTCTCAATTTTTCAGGGTTTTCCGCACTTTTTTTCTAAACACTTGCAGATATTGAGCTGATTTTTGGTATGTGACTTTACCTTGATGTGTTATAGATCAAGTTTGCATTTCATTCCGCTTCATTGATTTTTGACAGAATTATGGCATTTTCAATTTTTAACGGGAACCAGATTACACTTGCCGGTAGGGGACTAGTATTGCTAATGCAATACTCTCAGAATGCTTGTTATACTTGTTGCTGAACATTATATTGTAAAAAGTGCAGGCGATAATATATCGGTAAATTATTTAGCCTCAAGTACACGTACAATAATTAAGTTTCCGTGGAAGTATTGACTTTGTGTTAAAAACAATATTATTAAGTCTTATTTCTAAAGAAAAGCGAAATAGCATGATACTTCCTGCAAGAAACTGAATGATTGAAATATTTGGTAAAACCTAGGAGCTTCCGGGGCTTAGCTCCATGGGCCCCCATCAGGGCTTTGCCCTGGATCCTCTCCGTTCTCTGTGTACAAGTCACTTCCGTACTGGCTACGCGCCTGAAAATTTTACATTACATTGAATAAACTTGACTTTCAAAGTCTGCTTACAGGCGCGGATCCAGGATTTTTTTCCAGAAGGGGAATAAAAATCCCTTTTCCATTTCTGCAGTCGTTGTCGTTTAGCACACAACTAGAATTTTCATCGTGGTTTAATAAACTTGTATTTTATTATACTGTTAATAACGTTTTTACTATTAATAGCCACAATGATTAATTAAACAACTTGCCCAAATCTGAAAGAAAAAACTTTTCGTATGTGTGTGAGAGGGTGTGTGTGTGTGTGTAGACACTTTCCTTAGCCGCCCGCGTGGCGCAGTGGTTAGAGCGTTTGCTCTAGAGTCGCGGAGTAGAGAGTACGAATCCCACTGTGGGACGTGGAGACCGGTCCTTCGGATGATACCGTATAAACCGAGGTCCCGTAGGTGCTGGTTATAGAAAAAGATCCCTCACAGCTCAATGGCCCTAATTGGCGATTATATGTCTAAATTTGCAGGGCTCTTCACTCAGTGGCGTACATTTTCTTCTGTTCATATGTGTAGGCTAATATGAAGTCAGACTTCATCTGAGACGCAAAGCGTAGGGCAAGGTCGCTCCTAGTACATGTAGCTCCCTTGAATGGGGGGTTGGGGCCCACCCCGAGAAAAAAAAAATGACAAAATTAATACAAATCGCGCGATTTTCTCATAAGAATTTTTTTAAAAGTATAATTATTTGGGTTTGGTAAATTGGGCATATTTTTTTCCTTAATCAAAACTGAAATTTTATGCGAACTTTAAGACATCCCTAGTTGCCATTTGACCGGTGAATTGATATGAACATTTTTAAACTTACCATGAAATTAAAATCGTCGTGAACACTTATACCTTCAATTTTTAATACCTTACAATGAAACCCTTTACAGTGCTTAATAAATATGGAAATTTAAGCTTTATAACAAAAAGATTATTAAAAGTATATTCCGGTTGTGTATGTAATAGATCTTTTAATTATGTGACAGAACTACAATTTATAGTTTTATGAAATAGTCTAGTATCGACTATGACATTTCAATTTCACCTTGAATGACTATATATAGTATTTGAGTTTGGATTTATAAGTGCTATGAATATTACTTTTTAGTTTCGACGTCAAAATAATGTACATGTACATGTATATAAGTTGTGAGAATTAAAGCAAAATCATCTATACACCTGCATGTCTTGTAGACTGAAAGAAGGCCATACATCAGAATAATTAAAAGGAAATGGATGTACACCTAATGATAATGATTTGGTTACAGTACACTTTCTGAAAAGTAATGACCAAATTACAAATGTAATATTTTATATTAATGAATAACCTTAGTGCATGCACAGCATGAACATTTATAAAATACATCATAATTGAATCAAATATTAAAAGAAAAACACATGAAATGTTCAGATGCTTGAACAGCAGACCTGTATACTAGACTGTAATGGTTAATATACAAAGTTGCGAGAAAGCAAAATAATCTACATACCTCTCGTAGAAGTTGTGTATTCTACGTCATAAAAAAAAGTAGAAATATGTCCTGATGGCATAAAAGCCCCACCTAGGGTTCATTATCAATGCAACATAGAAGTGTGTATTAATGTGTGGCGTTTTATGAGAATAGCTGAAATAGTTTCTTAAAAACTGAGTTTTATATACAATAAAAAGTGAGGTCAGAGGTCATTAAGAAGGTCAAGGTAAGAAAATTTGGATAGTTGATAAATTCTCACCAAATTATGTACCAGTGCATTAACTTGCATAAAAATATCTGGCTTCTTTGAAACTGAGCTAAGGGGAAAATAAAAAATTAAGGTCAAAGTCATTCACTTTGGACACAGCTGAATAGTTCTCACAAATATCAGTGCATGTCTACATAAAACTAGTTATAATTGTAACGGGAACCGTTACAGATGTTCCCCAAACGCCCCCCAACACCCTTTTGGTGTCTTATTTCCTGTAAGCTTCATTAAATAAGCCAATGAAGTATATTGATCGTTTTTTGCATTTCTCGCGCGCGCACGTGCATGCATGTGCAGGATGACCATGTCATCTCATCTATACTATTAATGCATCTTTATATTCTCAGTATCAAAACATTTCATCAAAAAATAAATAAGTTCCGGCTATATCAAGTATATTGGTCATCTTAGCATTGCATGCATGCGCACCTGCATGCATGTTCCTAATGACCATGCCATTTTGTCTACACTTATAATTTGTCTGTTTATTCTTAGTATCAAAGCTTTTCATAAAAAAATATAAAAATTATGACTATATTAAGTATAT